TCACCTTATTTGGCTCCCTCAGCTGGGTAAGGAGGACAATCCCCCAGGGCTGAAGGGGCTGTGGGAACCCTGACCATGCTCACAGCAGCCATGGCATCCTGATCTTCCGAGTACCTCTCTTCTGAGCTTCTGCTGTCTACCACAGGTAAATTCCCTTTTCTCTGGGCCATCGATCTATTTTCTTTTAATCCTGCATCTTTATTATATAAAGTATAGAAGCCTGTACAAAAGATATTTCACCCAATTTCCCTGATCTTTGACTAAACAACTCTAACTGCAGCATAGTATAGTAATTTAAAGACCCATTCAGCCCTAGCTGGTATGGTTTGGTGAATATAGTGCCATTCTGTGAACTGAAAGGTTGTTGGTTCAATTCCCAGCCGGGGGCATATGCCTGGGTTGGGGGCCAGGTCCTCTGATGGGGCGTTATGGAGAGGCAATGTGTGATGTTTCTCTTGCACGTTGATGCTTCTCTCCTTCTCTTTCTCTCTCCCTTCCCCTATTTCTAAATAAATAAATAGCCTGACTGGTGTGGCTCAGTGTATTAAGTGCTGGCCTGTGATGCAAGGGGTTGCTGGTTCTATTCCCAGTCAGGGCACATGCCTCAGTTGTGGGCCAGGTCCCCAGTAGGGCAACCACACACTGATATTTCTCTCCTTTTCTTTATCCCTCTCTTCCCCTCTAAAAATAGATAAATAAAATCTTTTAAAATAAATAAATAAATAAATCTTTAGCGACAACAACAACAAAAGACCCATTAGTAGCCAGCACTCTTCTGAGTCCAGATTTGCCATAGATGTATGAGTTTATTTCTGGACTCTCAATTCTGTTCCATTGGTATGTATGTCTATCCTTATGCCAGTACCACACGGTTTTGATGACTATAACTTTTAAAAAGATGTTAAAATTTATTTTTAGAGAGTAGGGAGGGGAAGGAGAGAGGGAGAGACACATCAATGTGTGGTTGCTTCTCCCGTGCCCTGCACCGGGTAACTGGACTTCAACCCAGCCGTGTGCCCTGGCTGGTAATCAAACTGGTGACCCTTTGTTTCACAGGCTGGCACTCAATCTGCTGAGCCGCACCAACCAGGGCTGATTACTATAATTTCGTACTAAGTTTCAAAACTGGGACATGTGAGCTTTTCAATCTTGTTCTTCTTTATTAAGATTATTTTAGAACTTCCGCCAAGATGGAGGCGTAGGTGGAAACACTTTGTGTCCTTGCACAACCAAATCTAAAAATAATAAAGTTTTAACAACAGTAAACACAACCAAACCACACAGAAAATCGACAATACGGAGTCTGAAAATAATGAACTGCTCAGCTAAACCCGTGTGAACAGACCAAAACGTGGCTCAAGAACAACTCAGAGCCCCAGAGCCAATAAATCTAAGTGATGAAGAAATAGCCAAACTTTCAGATGCACAGTTCAAAACACTGGTGATCAGGATGCTAACAGAACTGGTTGATTTTAGTCACAAATTAGAGGAACATATGAAGGCTAAACTAATTGAAATGAATGGTAATGCATAGGAAACCAATAGTAATGGAAAGGAAACTGGGACTCAAATCAAGGGAGTGGACCAGAAGAAAGCAAATAATGGCCAAACAGAAAAGAGTGAAGAAACAAGAATTCAAAAAAAATGAGGAGAGGCTTAGGAACCTCCAGGACATCTTTAAACGCTCCAACATCTGAATTATAGGGGTACCAGAAGGGGAAGAGGAACAGCCATGAGTGGAAACCTTATTTGAACAAAAAATAAAAGAGAACTTCCCCATTCTGGCAAAGGCAATAAACTTCCAGGAAATTCAGGAAGCTCAGAGAGTCCCAAAGAAGTTGGACCCAAGAAGGAACACACCAAGCCACATCATAATTATATTAGCCAAGATTAAAATGAAGGAGAGAATCCTAGAAGCAGCAAGAGATAAAGGGACAGTCACCTACAAAGGAGTTCCCACCAGACTGTCAGTGGATTTCTCAAAAGAGACCTTACAGGCAAGAAGGGGCTGGAAAGAAGTATTCCAAGTCATGAAAACCAAAGACCTACAACTAAGATTGCTCTATCCAGCAAAGTTTTCATTTAGAATGGAAGGACAGATAAAGTGCTTCTCAGATAAGATCAAATTCAAGGAGTTCATCATCACCAAGCCCTTATTTTTTTTTTAAGCTTTATTTATTTATTTATTTATTTATTTTTAGAGAGAAAGGGAAGGAGAGAAGGAAAGAAACATCAATGTATGGTTGCCTCTTGTGAGTCCCCTGCTTGGAACTGGCCTGCAACCCAGGCATGTGCCCTGACTGGGAATTGAGCCTCAATCGCGTGGTTCGCAGGCCCGCGCTCAATCCACTGAGCTACACCAGCCAGGGAACCAAGCCCTTATTATATGAAATGTTAAAGGGACTTACCTAAGAAAAAGAAGATAAAATAGATGAACAGTGAATGGACAGCAAACTCACAGTTATCAACAACCACACCTAAAACAAAAGCAAACTAAGCGGATAGCTAGATCAGGAGTGAACCATAGAAATGAAGATCACATGGAGGGTTAGCAACAGGGGAGTAGGAGAAGGAGAAGGGGGGAGAAGGTACAGAAAATAAGTAGCATAGACAGTAGATAGAAAATAGATAGGGGGGAGGGTAAGAATAGTATGGGAAATATAGAATCTAAAGAACTTGAGACACATGTTCATGAACTAAAGGGGGGAATGGTGGGGGAGGGGTGTGCAGGGTGGAGGGGAACGGAGGGGGAATAGAACAAATGTAATGGCATAATCAATAAAATAAAAATATATTTAAAAAAGATTATTTTAGCTATTCATGGTCCTTTGCAATTCCATATGAATTTGAGGATCAGCTTTTCCATTTCTGCAAAAAAATTTACTGGAATTTTGATAGGGATTGTACTGAATCTGTAGATTGCTTTGGGTGGTACTGACATCTCATTGTGGGTTGTTTTCCATTTATTTTGGTCTTCTTTAAAAATTTTCAGCAATATTTTCTAGTCTTCATCTCCTTGTACAAGTCCTGTATAAGTCTTTCACCTCCTTGGTTAAAGTTCATTGAGGATCCTCCCTGTTTATGCTTGAGCTGTGACCTTTATTGTAAGAGTGAAATATAGGCGTGCTCTCTTCCAGGGAGATCTGGCCCTTCTTTTCAGAAGGTTACTACCTTTGATCTTTAACTGTTCCTTTGGGGGGTGGGGGGAGGGATTGGCCCTTCTCCCAGAGGGACCTGTTAGTCAAGCCATGCAAGGCCCTTGGCGTGTAGCCACTTTTGTGTAAAACATATTTAAGCAGAGTCCCCAAAGTGAGACTTTGGAATCTCACCCAAGGGAAAGACGCTTCGCTCGGAACTTTCGCAGTCAGAAGCCAATGCTGTCTCTGGGATTCCCCAAACCCCAGCGCCCAGCGTCTCTGTTCGGGATGGGGGTTGATGAACTCCCGTCTGGTGATACACGCTCTTGGTTCTTGCTTTTGCTTTGCTCTCGCTTAATAAAGTGCTTAGCTATTTCTTTTAACTTGGGGTTTTTATTGCCTGCAAATCCGAAACTCCAAATTAAGTGGCTATGATCAAATACGTGTCCCTTAGTGGCACATCTAGATGGTGTGGCTCAGTGGGTTGTGTGCTGGCCTGTGAACAAAAAGGTCACCAGTTTGATTCCCAGTGGGGGCACATACCTGAGTTGTGGGCCAGGTTTCCAGATGGGGGCATGTGAAAGTCAAGCTATCGATGTTTCTCTCACACATGGATGTTCCTTTCCCTGTCTTTCTCCCTTCTTGTCTCTCTAAATATAAATAAATAAAATCTTTTTAAAAAGTTTATTTCTAGGTATTTTATTAATTCAGATGGTATTGTAAATAGGATTGCTTCCTTCATTTCCTTTTTGAGATTGTTCTTTGCAGGTGTGTAGAAATACAACTGATTTTTGCACGTTGTTTCTGTAACTTGTGACCTTGCTGAGTTTCTTGGCTCTAGGAGCTTTCTTGAGGATATCCTATATACAGAATCATATTGTCTGTGAAATACGGATATTTTTACTTCTTTTCCAACTCAACTGCTTTCTATTACTTTTTCTTTTCGAGTAACTCTGATTAGAACTTCCAGTGCAGTGCTGAAACAACAGTGGTGAAATCGGGTATCTTTGCACAATTTCTTTTTTTTCTTACACAATTATTTTTGTTCCACAATGACAAAATCCATTTATATCTTAGATGGTTTGGCGTTTCAGGCAACTTAACATGATGGGTCCAGGTACTGCCCTTTGGGAGGGTTAGGAGAGAGAGCCAACAGGGTCAAACCGCGGTGGGCTAAACCGTGTGTGTGGGGAGGTTTGAGGCTTCTAGCTTCTCCTGAGTCTTATTTTTACTCAGCCCTTAAAGGAATTTATATACAGTATCTCATGTTTTTACCCTTGTTAACAGATACGGAAAGTCAATTTCAAGGAGGTTAACTGAGGATCAGAGTTAAATTATTTGCCTTAGTTAGAGAACTAATTAAGTGACAAAGCCGGTCTGCTAGGGTTGTACTAACATGCCGTTCGGCTGCACAGGAAGACAATGAAAGTTGAAGTGTGTAATAAAGGTGACAGCTAAGCATTCGCAGCCTGTTTCATATTCACTACGGCTGCCCCACATGCCGTTCCATCACACCGCATCCTTCTCCCCCAGTACGGCTCCTTTAAGGCTTTGCCCAGGGCACAAACCATTCATTGGCTCTCCGTACGCGTCCCAGGTCACACGAGAGAAACAGCCAATCAGCGCGGCTTGTTTTCGCCCAGCCTGCTGGTGCCAGATGGCGTTATCGCGTCCCTCTCGCAGAATGCCGGGAATTGTAGTCTAGCAGACCATTTCTTTTTACAGCGAAAGAAGATTGAAAACTACTAGACCCAGAGATCTAAGCGCGGAATGAGTATACCTTTAAGGGCTACCCCGCCAACAATACCGGCAAAGAACGTGCGTCCAGCAACAGGTGAGAGTGGTGGTGGGCTGGGACCGGAGGGCGGTGTTACAGACTGGGCCTACTTCTGGAGGCACAAGCCCGGTCTGTTGCATCGGAGCCCCATCATTTTGGGGGTCGGTGGGCCTGACTGGCTGACCCTGTGGATGTGCTGAAACTCCCGAGGTCTGTCGTGTGTTTTTCCTGCACCCCTCCTACTCCCGCAGTATACCCGAGTCAGGATTGCTTTCCTACTGCGAATTCTCATCACTCGTCCAGTGTTGCTTCTTGGCTGTCTCCGCAGTCCCAGCGCTCCTTGTAGGGCTCGGGATGCTCAGTGTCATTGCTTCAGACTACTTGGTCGTAGCATCCAGGGGTTCCGGATCCTCCACCCCCCTCCCCTCCTACTAGGAGAGCCTTGGTTCTAGACTTGGCGCGGCCACTGCCTAAGTATCTTCCGACCGTCTAGAACCTCAGTTGGACTTTTGTGAAAATAAAGCGATTTAAGGGCCCTTTCAGCCCCTAATCCCGAGGAACTACTTTGGATCCGTGCTGTACTTCAGGATTTGGGGGAAGAAGCCAGGAAAGTGCAGTTACAGAGGCTCCTGGAGGAAGAGTTGATGGTTGAGGGACAAAGTTAGGTGGCATTAAATTTTTGCAGTTTTATTTTAAGTGTGATCAGTTGAGTGTCAGTCAAACAGCCATACTTTTTGCTCCTTGTATTCCCTTCTTTCTGTAAATGCCCAAACTCTAGAAGGGGATGGGTCCAGGTCTTGGAGGTAAAAGGATTGGGGGCAGTAGGGCTGACCTAGGGAGCTGCCACCATGCATCTGCCTTTGGTGCTTGCCCTTGCAGGCAGGGCTCCGTGCCTCCTCCCTATGCCACCCCTCCTCCCATGATGCCCCTGTCCCGCTGGCTGAGATATGTGGGGGTCTTCTTGCAAGCAGCCCCCTGCTGGGTGCTCCGGGAAAGGTGGCTGGGTCCCCTACTGCGGCCCTCCCTGGTGCACCAGGGCTCAGTCCTGGGGGCATGGCACAGTGCCCGCTGCTGGTGCCAAGCATGGACAGAGGAGCCTCGGTGAGTGTGGTGGGGTCAGGGGCCTTGGGGAGGGGAGCAGCTGATCAGATTTCTGACTTTCCTCCCTCTCCTCAGAGTACTTCATTCCTCCTTCAGAATGAATGGAGACCAGAACTTGTATGACCAAAAAAGGCAGAGCTTCATCCAGCACTTCCCTGAGATCGTCAGGGTACTGACTGAGGATGACATGGGGCACCCAGAAATAGGAGATGCTATTGCCCGTCTCAAGGAGGTGAGGGCTTTGTGACCTGAGGGAGTGAATCTTAGGTCGTTCTGTGTATGTGTGATCCAGCATGGTTTTGGGGGGAATTCTGACAGTTGGGGGGCAGGCTTTTACCTGAGTGACTCTAGGTCAGCTCTGGAGGGGCCTGTGTCTGAATAGGTGTACTTTATCAGCCCATCAGTTACACCTGTGATTCTGGTAGGCCATCCCAACTGCTTTGCATGGGTGGAGGCCCCTGAGGATGGAGGCCTTGAGTCTGGCAAATGTTTGGTTTTGTTGCGAAAGGAAATTAGATGTCCTGAAATCATAAGGTGCTACCTTGGCAGGGACCAGGGAGGAAGGAGTGAAACTAGTGTATTGTCAGAAATCTCTGTTCTGGGACAGGAACTATTGCTGGGATACTTAAGTTACCTAATTATTTTATTCTTTTGGAGTATCTAGTAATTCTTTTATAAATGCTGTCTCATTTGTCTCAGGGGAACCAAGGAAAAAGAGGAGAGTTTTTTTACCCTGGGATGGAGATGAAAAGGGTAGTCTTTGCTGGCAATTATATCTGGCTATCAGCAGGGCCTCAGAGGGCAGAATGAGCAGGAGACACTGTTGGAGGAGTGGGGGGTGGGTCCCACAGCCTTCATCCTCCTTGCTGTCCTCTGACCAGCCTGGGTGGGGGCTTGTCCTCCGTGCTGGGAGAGGTTTTTCAGTTGCAGAGAGGTTGGACTGCGGGTGGGAGAAAGTGGCAGGGAGAGGAAGTATGGGTTGCGAGAGGAAGTCTAGGAGAGATGGGGACTGGGCTGGAGCCTGTGGACAGACCTGGGCATGCTAGGCGTTCCTATAAAATGAACAGAGTTTTGGGGTGGTTCAGGCCTGGGAGCACTATTAAATTCCCTGAGGGGTACACTGCAGAGAGAGCCTGGGGGTTGGGGGGCTCTTCTGCGTTCCAGAACTTGGGAGATATAACCAAGAGAGTAGCCATTCCGTAGGCTCCCTGGAAGAGAAGTCAGGGTCAAGGAGGGTTTTCAACTAGGTCATGGTGGGAAGTAGGACAGGGCAAGAGGAAATCTCAGAGTAGCTGCTCTGCAGGTGCTGATACTCGGTCCCTCTGGCTTTGCCCCTCTAGGTCCTGGAGTACAACCTCATTGGAGGCAAGTACAATCGGGGCATGACCGTGCTGATAACCTTCCAGGATCTGGTGGAACCAAGAAAGCTGGATGCTGACAGTCTGCAGCAGGCCATGACTGTGGGCTGGTGTGTGGAACTGGTGAGAAGGGGGGCGGGGCAGGAGTTTACTAGGGTGGGGGTATCTTTGGTGGGTTGGGGAGGGGAGCAAAACTCCCTTCTTGGTTATTTGTTCCTGTGCCTCCAGGTGCCACAGCCAAATTTAGACAGTGAATTACTTCATGGATTGACAAATGTAGGGCACCTCTTTTGCAAATAGGTACATGTTTCACCTGTAGACTACGTGTGGGCCAGGGCCTTGGAACTGGGCACAGCCAGTATCAACTCTGAGTACAGCGACAGAGTTCTTCCAGAGATTGTTCTCAAGCAGAGGTTGAAAACTGGCATCCCACTGAGAGTTTTTGAAAATATTTAAAAATTAAGTCTCCTAAATTTACGAAAGAATAGGTTTTACATAAAACTCCAAATTTCTGCCTTGGCCCATGTGGCTTGGTTGGTTGGAGCCTTGTCCCGTGCAGCGAAAGGTTGTGAGCTCAGTTTTCTGGTAGGGCACATACCCAGGTTGAAGGTGTGTGCCCAGGTTGGAGCATGTGGGTGCTGGGCTGGGTCGGGGGTGGGAAATGATCTATGTTTCTGTCTCACATTGATGCTTCTCGCCACCCTCCAGCTTCCTCTTTCTGAAATCAATAAATATATCCTTGGACAAGGATTAAAAACCCCCACCATATTTCTAACACCACTTGGACAGTTGCTAGATCTGCATTCAGACTCCCTGTGGCAACAGCTGGCTGCAGCAGAACTGAGGTCGCTCCCCTCGAGACCGGGCAGACGCTCCCGTGTGCGTGTGCGGGGCTGTCTCTGCTTTGTTGCACATCCTGTGTTTCCTTGGCCCTCGAAGGGGTATGGTTTGCAGGCCTGGTCTAAGGTTTCATTAGTGACAGGGACTAGATACTGGGAGGGGTGCAGTGAGCCCAGAAGGGAAGACGCTCAGGATTTGGTGGATGGCGGGTGATGCCGAGGCACCTGGCCTGAGGAAAGCAGCTGGCTCACGGCAAGAGTGGTGAGCAGCTTGGAGCCAGCCAGCTGGCATCTTGGTTGTGGCAGAGCAGGTGGACCTGTCTGTCCTGTGGATGCCGAAATTCTAGTCTGGAGCTTTGGAGATAGGGCTGGAGATTAGGGATTTGCCTCCAAGAAGGTAAGGGGAAAGGCATCATTGAAGATAGGGCATGGGGTGACAGGGTTTTCATCCCTGTAGAGATCAGGAGGGGGTGGAGGAGTCCATAAACTTGGAGGCAACAGGCAAGGAAGGAAGTGGGGGAGGGTCAGGGCAGAGGAGATCGGCAGAGCTGCGGGACCCTGGTGGGTGCGACCTTGAGGGCCAGCAGCTCACCTGTGGAATCAGTTATTAACACTAGCTGTTCACCTGGGAGTGTTTTCTTTTTTTTTTAACATGGCTGAAATGCTCTCGCTTCTCCAGGATGCCATTTGAGCTGTTCACCATTATTCCTACTTGGATGACTTTAGTTATCTGCCGTCTGCTTCTGCCTCATCTCCTTCAACCTCCGATTTTTCTATTTCAGCATTTACTGTCTGAAAACAAGGACATTTACCTATATAACCACAATATTATTATCACATCTACCTTAGTGTATTTGGGCTGCTACACTAATACCAGATATTGGGAGTTTATGAAAAACAAATTTATTTCTCACAGCTCTGAAGGCTAGGAAGCCCGAAATCAAGGCACCAGCATGGTGGGGTGAGGGCCTACTTCTGGAGTCACAGCTGGCACCCTCCTGCTGTGTTCTCTAGTGGTGGGAGTGGCTAGGGAGTACTGGGAGGGTCTTTGTGAGGATAGTAATCCCATTCATGAGGGCTCCATTCTCATGACCCAACCACCTCCCAAAGGCCCATTAAAAAAAAAAAAAAAAAAATATATATATATATATATATATATATATATATATATATATATATATATTTACTTACTTATTTTTAGAAAGCGGGGAAGGGAGGAAGAAAGAGAAACATCCATGTGTGTTGCCTCTCTCACACACCCTACTGGGGACCCAGCTGGCCGTCAACCCAGGCACATGCCCTGACTGGGAATTGAGCCAGTGACCCTTTGGTTCGCAGGCTCGGGCTCAGTCCACTGAGCCACACCAGCCAGGGCTTTTTAAAAATATATATATTTTACTGATTATGCTATTATAGTTGTCCCATTTTTTTTCTCCTCTTTATTCTCCTTTGCCCTGCACCCCCCACCAGCATTCTCCCACCTTAGGTCACATCCATGGGTCGTACATACAAGTTCTTTGGCTTCTCCGCTTCCCATATTATTTTTAACCTCCCCCTGTCTATTTTGTACCTACCATTTATGCTTCTTATTCTCTGTACCTTCTTCCATTCTCCTCTCTCCTCTTCCCTGCTGTTCTGTTCTGGTAGTTGTTTGCTTAGTTTGTTTTTATTTTTGTATTTTTTAGGTTCCGTTGTTGATAGTTGTGAGTTTGTTGTCATTTTATTGTTTATATTTTTTATTATCTTCTTTTCCTTAGATAAGTCCCTTTAACATTTCATATAATAAGGGCTTGGTGATGATGAACTCCTTGAACTTGCCTTATCTGAGAAGCACTTTATCTGCCCTTCCATTCTAAATGAAGGCTTTGCTGGATAGAGCAATCTTGGATGTAGGTCTTTGCCTTGTATGACTTTGAAAACTTCTTTCCAGCCCCTCCTTGCCTGCAAGTTTTGAGAAATCAGCTAATAGTTTTATGGGAAATCCCCAAAGGCCCACTTTCTTTTTTTTTTTTTTTTTTTAAGATTTTATTTATTAATCTTTAGAGGGGAAGGAAAGGAGAGAGGGAAAGAAATATCAATGTATGGTTGCCTCTAGTGCATCCCCTGCTGGGAACTGGCTTGCAACCCAGGCATGTGCCCTGACTGGGAATCGAACCGCGATCCTTTGGTTCACAGGCCTGTGCTCAATCCACTGAGCTACACCAGCTAGGCCCACTTTCTAATACCATTATCTTTGAGGGTAAGGATTTTAACATACAAATTTTGGGGGGGATACAGTCAGACCACAGCAATATCTAAGATATTTAACATTGTTAGTATAGAATATGGTAGTATGTTATACTATAGTATTATGTAATGTATTAATATATTTTTATAATATTGTATATACTATATTATGTAATCTTATAATATATCTAATGTATGGTTCATATTTAAATATGAAGTGCTCCCCAAAATGTATATTATAAGTAGTTTTTTTTAACATTTAGGACCCAGTCAAGATGTACTATATTTGGTCGTCGTTCTTCAGTCTTTCCCCTAGAATAACCCCTGCACCGGAGCTGACTTTTTAAGCCTAGGCCAGTTGTTGGGTGCAGTGCACAGTCCAGTCTGGGTTTGTCTCCTCATGGTTACGGTCAGGCAGAACATTTGCTAAGAATGCTACATGTGTAATGTGGCATGTTTCCCATGACAGCACATACTAGGGAAAACTATTAAAAAACAAAAGCCACCCGAAATGCAGTGCCATCCCTATAGATTTCTCATTTAAGTGATCTGGGGTAGGACTGGCACTAGCATTTTTTAAAGTTGCCGACTACACAGAAAGCTCTGTCGCGTCCTGGCTGGTGTGGCTCAGTGGATTGAGTGCTGGCCCATGAACCAGAGTTGATGGTTTGCTTCCAGTCAGGGCACAGGCCTGGGTTGCAGGCCAGGTCCCCAGTGAGGGGTGTGTGAGAGGCAACCACACATTGGTGTTTTTCTCCTTCTCTTTCTCCCTTATCCTCTCTCTAAAAATAAATAAAATCTTTATTAAAAAAAGCTCTTTTGCATCCAAATCATTGCATGGGGTTGGGGGGATGGAGGAGATTGAGAGAGTCCAGTGTCAAAGCCCTTTGGAGTGGTGCTGGTTGAAACTGGGTGGACCTCTCAGTCACTCTTGGGAGAGGCAGAAGACCGGCTGCTTCAGGTGAACCATGCCACTTCAAATAAACACAGTGTAAATAAAATAATATGCTTCCAGTTGGAAAGCCTAGATGCCACCCTTCGGTGGGGTCAGAGGTGAAGGTGCAGACGGATGCCTCCCTCCCCAAGGACTCTGCCCCAAGGGAGAGCACCTGGTGCCCTGGCTGATTTCCTGCCGCCCACACTTAGGCAGACTGGCCGGGATGGGTGCTCCTCCTGAGCAATGCAGACCCACCAGAGTTACACACAGATCAGGATGGGCGGGGCTTAAAAACCATGCCTTGGAAAGCTGTTTTAAAGAACTATAATATGTAGCTTAACAGCAAGAAGTGCCATGGGGAACATTACAGTGTTTCATTTTTTCCATTTATTTATCTTCAAGTAGGCTAGCACTCAGAAGAGTTAGCTATTTACTGATACTTAAGAGTTTTTAAAGATGTTTAAGACTCATGGGCACATATTACCAGGAGTCTGACTTCAGTTCTGTTCTACTCTACCTGTACCCACCCCCCTTCCCCCCGTGAGCTCCCTAAGGCAGAGCTTCATTTCTGGTTATTGGAGTGTGTGTACAGCGTCCAGGGATGATGCAGGAATAGTCTTGTTCCAGAAGTCACGCATGTGGAGTTGAGTTACACGAAGACATCGGCTTTGAGTGCTCACCGAAGGTGCAGGGCGGAAGGTGTTTCATCGCCTCCCTGGCACCAGGGGCTACCTGAGGCTGCTTGCCTGGAGGAGTCAGTGATCTGCAGTAGTCTTTTACTCAGAAAATGAGAGTGTTTTAGTCCCATTTTATAATTGGGAAGCCTGAGCCAAAATAGTCATAGAACTTGCCAGAGCCTCTACCTGGGCGTTCTGGCCTTCCCTCTCCGCTCATGGTGATTCTCGAAGCAGCTCTGGTGCTGTTGGGAGGGAGCCCTGGGGTCTTATTCCACTCTTCCTTTTCCTCCCAGCTCCAGGCTTTCTTCCTGGTGGTAGATGACATTATGGATTCATCCCTCACCCGACGGGGGAAGATCTGCTGGTATCAGAAGGTAAAGTGGGAACAGGCCACAGGGAAGTGGTTACACGGAGCCTATTGAGGTGTTTACAATGGCAGGTTCTTGGTATGAGCCTAAGACGGAGACCAAGTGCTGGTTTTTCTGTGTTCCCGACAGCCAGGCATCGGTTTGGACGCCATCAATGATGCAATTCTTCTGAAAGAGTGTGTCTACCGACTGCTGAAGCTCTACTGCCGGGAGCAGCCCTTTTACCTGAACCTTATCGAGCTCTTCCTGCAGGTGTGCTGCAGGCCAGGCTCACTGCCGAGCATTGGTCTCTATAGGACGGTCTAATCTAGCTGGTTTCAGGGCATAGGAGATGCCTAGGTTTGCCTGGAAGAGGAAGAAAGCAAGGGAGTTGGGAAGGGTGGTGGTAATGGTAAGGAGAATTCTCTGTCCCTGTGTAATGGAAGGAGTGCTAAGGACTGTGTGTGTGAACATGGGCCTTCAGTGTTGGGGCTCTCTCTCCCTCCTGCTTCCTTTCTGCCTGTGCAGTTGTTAACTGGTATGGAACACGGGGCTCAGGATTTCAGGGTTCCCTGGTCCTGGGGAGAGCCCAGCTTCATGGACCGTCTTCCTCCCCAGAGTTCCTATCATACTGAGATTGGACAGAGCCTGGACCTCATCACCACCCCGCAAGGCAGCGTGGACCTTGGCCAATACACTGAAAAGAGGTGAGGGACAGTGGGAACCATAACTGCACGGTGAGGGGTGCTGCCGGTGGGCTCCGTGTTTCTGAGGGGTTTATTTTCTCCCCACTACTTAGGCTCAAATCTATCGCCAAGTATAAGACTGCTTTCTACTCTTTCTACCTTCCTGTAGCTGCTGCCATGTATATGGTGAGTGAGCCCCACTGCCCCCACTGAGCTGCCCGCCAATGTGGGCTTTTGGACATTCTGGTGCCCCACGTAATGGCTGTGTGACCTTGGGCAAGTTATACCTTCTGAGTTTGTTTCCTCATCTGCAAGATGAGGATAAAATCTCCGCCTTACCCTTGACCAGTGTGGCTCAGTTGGTTGGGTGTCGTCCTATAAAGCAAAAGGTCACTGGTTCAGTTCCCAGTCAGAGCACATGCCTGGGTTGCAGGTCTGGTCCCTGGTTGGGGGTATGTACTGGAGGCAACCGACTGATGTATCTCTCTTTCCAATGTTTCCCTCTTTTCTTCCCTTTTCCTTTCCCTAAAGTTAAAATCTGTAAATTAAAAAAAAAAAAATCCCACCTCACAAGACTTTTGTAAAAATTAAGTGAAGCAAGTGGTGGGACAGTGCTTGGCCCATCAGAGAGGAACAGGAAGTCCTCCATCTGAGTGTGGAGAGGCGCGATTCAGGCTGAGGAGACGGGCAGTGAGTAGGAATGACCGCCTGTCCTGACCTCGCTTCTCCAAGTTTTCCTTTTCATCCTGAAATAAGTTGGAAATGGCGTGAAGATGATGAAGAATAATAATCAGTAGCCCATGGACTGAGCCTCGTGAAGGGAGGGAGATTCTGAGGACCTCTGGAATGGATTACTGTCTGCTTGCAGGATGGCCTAGCCAAGTGGGACAGGTTGGACCTGTCAGTCAGGCCTTCCTAGATCAGGGAGGCCAGGGATGTCTAAAAGGGGATCAGAGGAGATTTGGGGGCTTCCTCCCACTTGGGCAAGGGCCCATGGGAGGAAGCAGCCAAGGAAGATGTAGGCGCCTCTGCCTTGTTAACCCCCTTTTCACTGTAGGCGGGCATTGACGGGGAGAAGGAACATGCCAATGCGAAGAAGATCCTGCTGGAGATGGGGGAGTTCTTTCAGGCTCAGGTAGGAAGGCTCGAGGCACAGGCTCCAGCATAACTTCATTTCCTGTTTTGCACCCTCTTCATTTCTCCTTTTCTGCTCCCCTGCCCAGGATGATTACCTTGACGTCTTTGGGGACTCCAGTGTAACAGGCAAGATTGGCACCGATATCCAGGACGGTAAATGCACCTGGCTCGTGATTCAGTGTCTGCAACGGGCCTCTCCAGAACAACGCCAGATCTTGCAGGTGCCCAAGAGAGGACTGTGGGTCCCTGAGCTGATAATAAAGGGGATAGGGCAGTGGTTTTCAAGTGGGGGCAGTTTTGTATCCCAAGGACATTTGACAACAGCCGCAGACATTTTTGGTTGTCATCACTGGTGTATGTGCATGTGCTACAGGTGTCTCTAGTGGGGAGAGGCCGGGAGTGCTACAGACATCTCTGCACACAGCAGTTTTCCAGAACAAGGAACTGTCTGGCCACAGGCTTCCACAGTGCTGGAGTTGAGGAGTCCTGGGGTAGAGGAAGCCGAGGGCTGAACCCCTGTCTGAGCATTTGGGATGGGGAAGGAAAAGTTCAATATCGTAGACAATCTTACACACTCAGAGACACTTGAAATTGAAGGCAGGAATCAAGTGAATGGCATTGCAAATGTTCTGGAATATATCGGTGAGGGGTATGGAGGGGACCTGGAGACGCTGGGGGAACATAAAACCTGTTTACCTGCTTCCATTCCCTCCAGGAGAATTACGGAGAGAAGGAGGCTGAGAAGGTGGCCCTGGTGAAGGCGCTGTACGAGGAGCTGAATCTGCAGGCCGTGTTCGAGCAATATGAAGAAGACAGTTACAGCCACCTTATGGGTCTCATTGAGCAACACTCACCACCCCTGCCCCCAGCCATCTTCCTGAGGCTGGTGCACAAGATCTACAAGCGGAAAAAGTGACCCTAGAGACTACCAGGGCAGGGAGGGCAAGTTCTCAATAAATTACAGTAAAACCTCTCAACGCCATCTGTAGGTGCTGGATATTGCAACAAAAGTTTGCCATAGGCTAATTTATACGGACAAGAGTTAAGTTTCTGGTTCCCGTGGCCTATTTCTGGTTACAAAAATGTCACCCAACACTTATGATATTAAACACTGAAATAAATGTGAGCCACATACATTTAAGGAATGAATAAAAGCAGGAGATTATTTTCCAAGTCACTTATTCCGGTGAAGGGTTGTGGGTGACAGGGGCCTGCCTGAGCACAACGTGGGAGCCCACCCTGGACAGAAGGCCCTTCTATCTCAGGGCCCACCCAGGCAATGGCAGACAGACTCTCACCTGCCTACCTTTAGGATGTGGGAAGACAACCGGGTCCTGGGGGTGGGGATGGGGCCCAGGCAAGGGGAGAACATGCAAGCGCCACAGAGTGCACCCAGATGGAATAGATTTTCCCAAACCAGTAAGGAAATGAGGGTGAATAAAGTGATGTTATTCCAGGACATGCTGTATTGTCTGACCTTGTGGTTCTGTTTGAGTGTACCAGCCAGGGTGCAGCTATGACCGGAGTGGGCGGGGTTAGCGGGGTTGCAGGGAAGTCAGGACTTGGGGGTCTTTACTGCTCAACTCCTTAGGACAGAAAGCTTAGGACGAGTCAAAAACTGCCATACTGGCCTGGCCTACGTGGGTAACAGGCAAGACATGAAGTGCTGGGGGCAGGGTCTGAGCCACGCCCATGCGTGAAGGGGTGCGGCTGCGCAGAGCTAGCAGTTTGTCCCAGCGCCCCTCCCCTCCGGTCCTGTGGAGAGTGTGGGAGCTGTGGAGGTGCCCAACGCCTGCAGTGGTAGCAAGAGGACCCTGGTGAGGAGGGCTTGGTCTGGGATGTGGATGGATGGGTCGGGGACGAGGGGTGGAGCTGGAGAGGGAGCACTAAAAATGAGCTGGTGGGTGGTGGTGGCTGGATGACAAACGAGTACGGAGAGAATGGACGGAAACGCTGGGTTTCCAGGAGGGTGGAGGTGCACCCGGGCTTTACGCTGAAGCCCTGTGGGGTCCGTGTGGGCCAGTTTGACATGCAAGCTAGTGCTCTGCTTTATTCCCCACCCCCACACTTGCCCCTTTCCTGAATTCACCGGCCAGATGCACCTCCGCTCCGCTTCCCGTTTCAGAGCATCTGGGCAGGCCTTCCCTTGGCTCCTTACTCTGGGAGTGATTGCAGCAGAAGACCCAGAGTCCATTCTGGGCCTCATCCTTTTTCAAGCCCCCGAACCTCCGTGGGGATCCTGAGCGCAGCCGCATTCTCTGACCCTCCCTTCATTCCCCTGGGGGGGGCGGGGCGGGGCACGTTACATTCGACTCCACCTGCAAACACTGCAGAGGAAGCTAATGGCCAGCAGACGGTCGTTTGCATCTCATCTCAATATTGTCTAAAGCAGCCAGCGCCTTTCAGGCCTGCTCCCACCATCAGTCACCTCGGTGTCCTTCCCGGAGCCTGCACCTTCACTGGCTTGGTTTCACCATCCCTGTCTTCTAGGTCAGCATCTGCAGCTGTCAGGTAGGCGGATTTGAGAGGCCCTGTCTTCCTGATTCTTTAGAAGCCATCTCTTCGCCGCTGGCATTATGCTGTCCCCTCAGAGGGCTTTACTCTGCAACCTCAACCACATCCACCTCCAGCATGTGTCTCTGGGCCTGCACTTGTCCCGCCATCCTGAGCTACAGGAGGGGTCCTTGAGCACATCCTTTCCCCCAGGGGACACTGGGGGCAAGGAGAGTCGGGGTGCCTGCAGCGGGACCCTGGTGGACGCTAATTCCAACAGCCCAGCTGTGCCCTGCAGATGCTGCCAGGAGCACGGGCCAGGTTTAGACAGCCAGCAGGACCTAGAACAGGAGGAAGAGGGGGCTGCCTCTCCCTCGGACCCCGGCTGCTCCTCCTCTCTCAGCTCCTGCTCAGATCTTAGCCCTGATGAATCCCCTGTCTCGGTCTACTTGCGGAACCTCCCGGGCGATGATGTCCACCCTCAGACCAGAATCACCCCCCTGGAGCAGGACTCCCGTCTGGCCCCCACAGGCCCTGGTGCCTGCTCTCCTGACAGCTTCTGCTGTTCTCCTGATTCCTGCTCCGGAGCTTCCTCCCCACCCAGCCACGTTCTGGACTCCAACTGCAATGCTTTGGTCACCTGCCAGGACCCCCCTTACCCTGGCCTAGAGGAAGAGGACGCCTCCGGGGAGCAGGACCTCCCTACCTCCGAGGTCCCAGAGGCCGATGACGGGAAGATCAACTCTAGAAAAACCGAATCCAGTTGGAAAATCAATCCCATTTGGAAAATTGACACAGAGAAAACAGAAGCTGGCTGGAAAATAACTGATAACAATAACTCTGGTTGGAAAATCAATGGAAATACTAACTCTAGTTGGAAAATTGAATCTGGAAAATTCGACTCCGGCTGGAAAACCAACGTAAGAATAACTGATTCTAGCTTGAAAACAGACGCAGGGAAAAATGATGGGGGATGGAGAGATGACATCAGCGAGGAGCCGGTGCCTTACAGGACAATCACATCTTTCCATGAGCTGGCCCAGAAGCGTAAGCGGGGCCAGAGTCTGCCCCTCGTGCCGCAAGCCAAGAAAGACCGCAGCGACTGGCTTATAGTCTTCTCGCCTGACACCGAACAGCCCCCCACCGGGTCGCTGGGAGGCTCTCTGGTGGCGCCCCGGGAAGTTACCACCTTCAAGGAACTTCGGTCCCGAAGCCGGGCCCCGCCCCCGCCAGTCCCGCCCCGTGATTCCCCAGCTGGCTGGGCCTTGGTCCCGCCCCGGCCCCCACCCCCACCCGTCCCTCCCCGGAGGAAAAAGAACCGACTGGGGCTGCAGCCCATAGCCGAGGGGCAGCCCGAAGAGGTCAGGGCGGTCAGCCCCCTAGCGGGCGAAAAGGCCCCAGCCGCCAAAGAGCCGGAGCAGCCCGGTGCGCAGGCCGGCCTTGAGGGTAAGAGGCCACAAAAGGAAGCAGGAGGCGGGCTGGGCTTCAGCCCTGCCTAAGCCTCCAAAGGTTACAACCCAACCCCCTGTAACCCCCTTCCCCCTTTCTGTGTCATCCATCCTCCCCATCCCCTTCAACCAGGGAGCGTTCCGGGAAAGGGAAACTGGGTGGGACACTGGGTTACGGGACTAACTCTTTGCTCCCTCTTTCTCCTGCCCTTCCTTGCCTGGCTGCCCGATCCGCTGCCCTCCTTTCTCTCCGCACCTGCCCCGCCAATCCTGCCTGCAGCCCGTTCCCTCCTGCTCCCTCGGCCCGTGGTTTTCCGGTTCTCGGCCGACGGGCGCCCCCTGTTGGAGGGTGGGGGCACGGGCACAGTTGGGTCTTTGCTCCTGGCTCCTCTGGCGGGCTGGTCCGGAGCAGGGCTGCGGTTGCCGGGGGCGCCCAGTCCCTCAGAGGAGCAGCTGCTCCCTGTCCGCCTGTCCCCCGTGGGAGCCTATTCTCCTCCGGCTCGAGGGGCCCTGTCCTGCCTGGCCAGCCCCGAGCTGGCACTGCTGCTGTCCCCGCTCTTTCCCAGAAGTAGCACCTTCCCTGCCGCGGCTCCCCCACCCCGCCAGGTACCCGCCCCCCCGCTGCCACCGCCACCTCGTCCGCCGAAGGCCCCTCGCTGGACCAGGAGCCCACCGCCTCCACCCAGGCTACGTAAGACCGACCCAGGCCGGTCCCGCAGGCCACGCCCCAGGCAGGCCGCCCCGCCCACACCTCTATAGTTTCTTCCGGGTTAGCGGGCTCGGCCCCGCCCTTCGACCTGGGGCCGATTCCTAGCAAGTTCATTGGTTCTGGGGAGTCTGCCCCCACCGCCGGTACCCGGCCCGGGCGTAGTGGACTCAGGCCAGTCCATCTTCTCTACTCAGTTTAAGGCGGGGGGGGGGGGGTTCTTAGCAAGTCCACTGTTAAGGACCTTGGGTCACAACCTCTTTGGAATTCCCTGGACCCGGCCTGACCTCCATCTAGCTAGGGAAGCGTGCAGGGTGAAGCTCCCCGACGCCCTAGGCCGAAGAAGTCCTAATCTCGCCTTCCTCATCAGGCCCCACTCACTTGGGCTGCGGGGACGCCCTCCGCTGATATGCTGGCGCGGGATCTGGGTTTCCCCTTAACGGCGCCTTCCAGCCTACCAGACCTTAGGTCTCTTCTACCTCCCTCTTTCCTCCATTCTCGTTTGTCTTTCTATTGTTCCGGGCTCCCCACGTGCTCTCCCTGTCTTCGCGGGCAGGACAAGGGCCCAAGGCGCCCCTTCTTTCCCTCGCTGTTATCTCTGGCCTTATAGGCCCCAGCCAGGTGGGTGGGAGTGAGAGCGGCAGTTCCTGGCTGACTTCTGGGATCTAGGAGGTGGGAGCTGGGCCCTGAAGAAGGGAATTGAAACGGGGAAAGGGGTGGAGAGGGGCGGCGAGTGCTGAGATCTGAGCAGGAGTTCACTCCAGGGTCCCAGGTCGAGCTGCCCTGTACTGTACCCAGTCCCGTGTCCCCTTTCCCAAGACTGTTCAGGGGCTAGGGCGCTGTGGACCCTCAGGAAGTGATCCGTGAGGGAGCTTGGAGTCCTGGAGAAAACCTGGGTAAGTGTCACTGCATTCTTCCCTTCTCCCAGTCCGCAGTTCCTGGTCCTTCGCCGGTGTCCCCCGGGCCCAGCGACTGTGGATGGCAGAAGCCCAGAGTGGGACTGGCCAGCTGCAGGAGCAGAAAAAAGGTAGGACCCCAACTTTGGCTTCAAAAGCAACTGCCCCTCACTTTGGCCCTCCCCTCTCAGGGCGGGATTGCAGAAACCGGTCTCTCCAAATCCTTTGGTGTCCCTGCGGCAAGCTAGGGCTTTGATGCCTCTTTCCTCCCCTCCCCCTTCCCAGGTCTCCTGATAGCCGTCAGCGCCTCAGTGGATAAAATCATCTTGCACTTTGGGGCAGCTCGAAACTTGGTTCAGAAGGTGAAGTTGTCTCTGGGAGGGTGTTGGGGGAGAGCAGATGAATGTAGCTCTGGGTCGCAGAACAGTCGGCAGGAAGGGCGCTGTGGTATCCCTGGACCCATGCCCACTACAATGCCTCCAGGCCCAGTTGGGAGATAGTCGGCTGAGCCCAGATGTGGGGCACTTGGTGCTGACCACCCTCTGTCCCGCCCTCCATGCCTTGGTGGCTGATGGGCTGAAGCCTTTCCGGAAGGACCTCATCACTGGGCATCGCAGGAGCAGCCCCTGGAGCGTGGTGGAGGCATCTGTGAAGCCAGGTGAGGGCGGGTGATGTGGAACTGCCGGGGACAGGGCAGGGCTAGCGCTTGGGCTTGGCTGACGGCTCGGGTTGCCTTCAGGTTCCAGCACCCGGGCCTTTGGAACCCTGTACAGCCAGGTGAGCCGTCTGGCCCCACTGAGTAGCAGCAGAAGCCGCTTCCACGCCTTTATCCTGGGCCTCCTCAAGTGAGTGGTATTCTTTCTGGCGCCCCTCCCATGGCCTGGGCACTGGAGAGCTATCTCAGGTGGGAGATAGTAGTGATGCCCCATGTTTCCAGGAAAGACCTCTCCTGTTCCAGTCCCTTCTCCCCTCCCAGAGGGGGCTGGAGCCCTCCGCCTCCCTGAACTTCTATTCCCTTTTCTTCCCCAGCACTAAGCAGCTGGAGCTGTGGTTTTCCAGTCTCCAGGAAGATGCAGGTCAGAGGCTCAAAGGGAGAGCATGGGGTTTCTAGGCTGTGAGCCGGGGGAGGGAAAAGGATCTGTTTTCTTGGTTCCCACTGATACCAGAATGATCTTAGTCTGCTCTCATCTTGTTGCTTTTCTAACACTCAAGGAGTCCCATAGCCCACAGGGGGAAAGATATCCTCACTGTAATCTCCAAAGTCTTGATTATTTGGCCTCTGCCTTCTTCCCCACCCTCTGAGTCTGAGGCTTCCCCTGGCCCTTTGTCAGTCTTCCTTCCTGGTTCTTCCCTCCACCTAGAACAGGTCTTCCCACCCCCTCATCATTACCTTTCATTCATCCTTTGGGTTCTACAGTGAGGCTTCGCCCCTGACCTACCCCCCATTTTTGCTCCTGTGACCCCGTCCTCCTTTCTGTTGCTTCTCCTGTATGTGTCTCCCTCGCTAGGCCCTGGTCCTACATGGGCAGGGATGTGTCAACCTCTTTTCTGTGCCCCGGCACAGAGCGAGGCCGGGGGATGTTTGTGGATGGATGGACTGATGCAGGGAGTCCTCTCGGCCTAGGCTTAGGGCCGTGGCTGATGTTAGCCTGCTTTTTCCCAGGCCTGCTGTCCCTCTTGTACCTTCCCACGGGATTCTTCTCCATGGCCCGGGGTGGCTGCCCCTCCCTGTCCACGGAATTGCTGCTGCTGCTACAGCCACTGTCGGTGCTCACCTTTCATTTGGACCTGCTCTTTGAGCACCACCATCACCTGCCCCTGGGCCCACCTCAGGCTCCTGTCCGCCCCGGCTCACCTCCAGCCCTGCAACAGACTGTGCAGGCCATGCTGCACTGGGGAGGTCGGCTGGCCCAGAGCCTTCGTGGGGCTTCTGGAGAGACCCCTCCAGGCCCTTCAGCTCCTTCAAGCCCTCCTAAACCAGGCAGCTGGTGGGAGCAGCTGACCCAGGCCTCTCGGGTCTATGCATCTGGGGGCACTGAGGGCTTCTCCCTTCCTCGGTGGGGATCCAGGCGGCAAGGGACTGTGGCTGAGGGAGCACGGGAGAGATCACTGCCTACCGAGGACGCGGCACCAGGCAGAGGCGTGTGGCTGGGGAGACTGTTTGGAGTGCCCGGGGGAGAAACTGAAAGTGGAGCTCTAAAGTCCAGGTAATGGGGTACCTGGTCCCCTGCATGGCCTCTAACTCTGTCCCTGAGTCCCCATTCTCCCCAAATTGAAAGCAGAGTGATCCTTTAGGTCAGAAGTCGGCAGTCTGTTTTTCTACAGTCATGAGCTAGACATAATTACTTTTTTTTAAAAGATTTTATCTATTTATTTTTAGAGAGGGGAAGAGAGGGAGAAAGAGAGAGAAACATCAGTGTTTGGTTGCCCCTCACATGGCCCCCACTGGGGACCTGGCCCGACTGGGAATTGAACCTGCGACCCCTTGGTTTGCAGCCCACGCACAATCCACTGAGCTACACCAGGCAGGGCCATAATTACATTTTTAAAAAAAGATTTTATTTATTTTTTAGAGAGAGGGGGCAGGAGGGAGAAAGAGAAGGAAACATTATATGTGGAAGATACATTGAGAGGTGGCCTCCCCTGTGCACCCCCACTGGGGACCTGGCCTGCAGCCCAGACATGTGCCCTGACCCCAAATCAAACCTGCTACCTTTCAGTTCCCAGGGTGGAGCTCAGTATACTGAACCACAACAGTCATGGCAAATGGTTACATTATTAAGTCATTACATTTTAATTGTTACATCAGCACCTACACAGTGTTCTCCATTTTGTCTTTTTGGTCCTCAAAGCCTCAAATACTATGTAGCCTTTTAGAAAAAAGAAAATATGTGGCGTTGAGCTTTGGCCGTTGTGGGTCTGTGATGGCTGGGGTCTGGGTGTGCTGCTTCCGTTAGTCTATAGTGATTTTTTGTTGTGTAGACTTGTGTTGTCACTTCCCTAGTCATCCTAACAAACTGCCACTCTGCCCACAGCAGTGACTGCCTCCTGAGCTTTTTGAAACATAGTCAGGCCCCTCGGCCTCTCCCTCCCTCCAGAGTCCTGGATTCTTACTGTTGTTTTTCTGGAGTGGGGCTGACCTCTGTGACTGTGTGCCCCTCCCCCAGGAGACCATCCAGCTGGCTTCCTCCTACAGTGAGTGTGCTGGCTCTGGTGAAGAGGGCGCCACCTCCCTGCTCTCCCGGGGAGCCCGAAGCCTCAGCACCCAGCATGGTGCAGACCTACAGGTGAGGAGGGTTGGGAGGGATGCACTGGCGTGTGTGTTTGTGTGTGCATTTCTGTCTTTATAAAGTGGAGGGGAGGCAGTTGAAAAGGCCAAGAGGCTGTCAAGTTAGGGCGTCGTGTCTATGCTGTCTACTATTGGTATGAACTCATTTCTCTGAGCCTTAGTTTCTTTCTCTGTAAAGAGAGGATCATTTATGCCTTTGTTATGGTTATTACAGAGACTAAACATAATTTTATAAAAGCATTTGGGCCTGGCTGGGTAGCTCATTTGGTTAGCGTTGGCTTGATACACCAAGGTTGTGGGTTTGATCCCAGGTCAGGGTACATACAAGAATCAGTCAATGAATGCATGAATAAGTGGAGCAACAAAAGTTGATGTTTCTCTTTCTCTCTCTCTCAAATCAATAAATTAGGAAAAAACTTTAGGAGACACTCAGTTAGTGGTAACCATGTGTGTGGATGTGCTGTGTGTGCCCCCTGAGGGTTTGTGCTTCCTGTTAGTGGGATATGCTAATTTGGCAGCAGGGGTCACTTCTGATTTGGGGTCTGGCTGTCTTTGGTTTTTCAATCCACTGATTAGGCTTCTTTTTTTTTTTTTTTTTTTTTTTAAGAGTTTGTTTATTTTTAGAGAGATGGGAAGGGATGGGAGAAACACTGATGTGTGATGTATGAGTTACATTGACTGGTTGCCTCTTGCACACCCCGAGCCAGGGACCTGGCCCACAACCCAGGCATGTGCCCTGACTGGGAATTGAACCAGTGAGTCTTTGGTTTCAGGCCAGTGCTCCGTTCCCTGAGCCACACCAGCCAGGGCTGAATTAGGGTTCTTGATTTTTAATTAATTCAGCAATATTTTTCCTGTACTTAACTATGTGTCAAGCATTATGCTATGGGAGGGATTACAAAGGTAGGCACATATTGGAGCCCCTGCCTTAAAGGAGCTTGTGGTCCAGGGGACATACTAACAAATGAACGAGCAGATGTAGAGAAAAGGCCCTAGGAGAGGAAGTCTGAGTCCGATTGGGCCATATAGAAAGGGCTTCTTCCCCAGATGTGGGGACTCAGGGACGCCCAGGGGTGGTGTAGGGTGTGCATGTGTCAGAAGGAATGGGATGCAAAGGTGCAGAGGCCCAAGCATGGTGAGGAACTGTGGGTACATGATTGGTTGTGGTTGGAGTGGAGGCTGCTGGCAGCAGTGATGGAGAGGCTAGAGGCTTCAGTAGGCCAGTTACAGGCCTAGACCTCACTATGAGGCAATGGGAGCCACTGAGGGCCTTAAATGGCTGGGGAATGATGTGCCTGCTTGTGTGTTTTGAAGGATCTCTGAGTGCTGTGTGGAGAATGCAGCTGGGAGAGAGGCTGTGAGAGATTAAGGACACCAGTTAGATTACACGCAGTGGTTCAGAGGGAGGATAGAGGCCTAAACTAGGGTGGGGGCAGTGGAGTCGATGAGAAAGATAGATGTAGTGTGAGATACAAACATCAAGCTAATTTTGGTGGTTGAATGGATGAGAGGAGTGAGACACCTTGATTTTTGCTGGGAGAAACTGGGTGGTGGAAGATGGTACTGTCTAACAGTACAGGGGACATAAGGGGCAATAGTTAACAGGGTTAAGATGAGTCATTTGATTTCCATGTGTTGAATCTGAAGTACCAGAGAAGTGCAAATCATGGCAAATAAGTAGCTGAAGAGTGGGTTTTGGAGTTCAGGAGAGGACTGGGTCCTACAGAGAATCCACATGTTAGTAGATGGTTCACACGAATCTCACCGGTGCTCCCTGAGCTGAACCAAAGGGACACTCCACACAGTGGGAAGGTGCAGCCTGGGACAGCTGGGCATCCCCACCTCGCTTCACCCCACCATTTCCCTCTGGCTCCCCACAGGGCGGTCCGTGCTCTCTGTGACCACACTGCTGCAGGACCCAATCAGCTGAGCTTCCGGCGTGGGGAAGTGCTGCGTGTCGTCGCCACTGTGGATGAGGACTGGCTCCGCTGTGGGCGGGATGGAGTGGAGGGGCTGGTGCCTGTGGGGTATACCTCTCTCGTTCTCTAGGCCTAGGACCTTTTCCTTGCCTTCATGTATCTCTCTCCTGTCACCTGGGAATGGAATGGCCTGTGAACACTAACCTGTGTAAACTGATCATCCAGAAGCATTTTTCTGGTCTGTAAAATGACTTTCCTCCCACATCCATTTTTGCTACGTAAATTTTCCTTCTTTCCTCCCATACCCACATGTAATTTGAAATTTGCTCTTCCAAATCCATACAAAGGAATTTCCCTCCATGCAGTCTCTTTCCTCTTCCCCATCTGCATAAGGGAACATCTCCCTTTCTATCTGCAAAATGGAAATCTAGCCCCATCTACCTTTTTCTTGTGTAAGTGAACTCTGCCAGTACAGTGTATGCACCTCAGTTCCCAAGACTAGAGGGTCTCTAGTCTCCTTCCTGTACATGAATCTTCCCCCCATCCCACGTTGCCTGTATTTATTATGTACTCATGTTGTAATAGATGAAGTCTGGACACCCCTGGTGGGTGGGCCTGTGATGTTGGTCTGCTTCCTTCCTCCTTTGTCCCAATAAAGTGTGGGAGTTGAATGTGTGTGTGTCAACTGTGGGTTTCAGGACACAGGCAGTGCGGGAAGGGAGGGAGGGAGGCCCTCTTATGGCAAGATCAAGGGAGACGCTTCCTTCCCAGCCCAGATTCAGTTCTTACTGTTTCCTGAGGAATGGAGAAGTGGTCCTTGGTTGTGTCTGAATCTCAAATGTGCCTATTTGAGATTTTTTTAAAAGATTTTATTTATCTTTAGAAGGGAAGGGAAGGAGAGAGGGAGAGAAATATCAATGTATGGTTGCCTCTCCTGCACCCCCTGGTGGGAACCGGCCTGCAACCCAGGCACATGCCCTGACTGGGAATCGAACCTTGGTTGTTTGGTTCGCAGGCCTGCGCTCAATCCACTGAGCCACACCAGCTAGGGCTATTTTGTGACTTTTAATTGCTTTGTTTTCTGAGACTGATAGGTAGAAGCCTGAGTAAATATGGCAGAGTAGGGAAGACATAGCCCTTGAAACTGTACTCATTACATCTGTATCCGAGGGAAGGGGAAGGATTAGAGGTGCATTAAGTGACACATTTTTCTCTATTTAACATCACCCTTCTGTGGTAATACAATTTCAGAAATCACAAAAACTTGACATCTACAACTTTGTTAGGAGTTAATCAATTTCATTCTTTTGAAATGAGAATAGTTAAAATGCTCTGGAACTTTGAGGATGGGGTTGGAAACCACTATAAATGATTGCCTTGAGAATAACCAAAAGGTTAGAAGAATAGAAAGCTATACAGTAATTATAACCAGGCAACAGGCAAGTTAGGGGGAAGGTGAGAACTATGTAGTAAAACACAGGAAGGATATCTGCACGTTTTCCTCCATCTTTGGGAACTTGGTTGGAGAGGACAACATGCTGGTACTGGGAGAGGGGGAAATAAAAAGATGCAAAGCTTCGTAAGTACTCGAGGCTTTGGTTAGCCTCAAATGTCTCATACTTTTGTCATTTTCCGGGACTTACTAGATCCCATTCCTGGCCAGTTCTTACCCATCCGCTCCTTGCTTTTATTTTGCGTTTGTTTGGCTGCCCTCTCAATTTTGACCTTGATTTGCATTTCGAAAGGTGTGTTCTGGAGCGATGTTTCACTATCTAGATTCTGAGAGCCTCGGGGATTCCTGGCTATATTTTTGGGAGTCTGAGTACTCAAGTTTATGAAGCTTCTTCAATTAATTACTATTGCAAAAGTTGTTTTATTTTTACAATGTTTTAAGTTATAAAACAGTAAATGTGGAAGACTACCATGCTTGGACTTTGGGACCAACATTTGTCAAAGTGCAATCTGCAGAGTGCTCTTGGGGAGGCAGGGGCTGATTTCTCAAGTTTCAGAAATCTCATATTGATACAGAGCTATTTCCCACGGACTCAACCTACCATTCCTTTTCCTGACTCCTAGCCCCATTTACTTGGTTTTACAGCAGGGACTCCTAGTAAGAGTCCTAAGGTAAGTAGTGTTGGAACATCAGTGAGATTTAGTGACATCTGCAGTCAGAGCTTTATGATTCTTAGGATTGTGCAATGTGGCAACAGAGCAGTGGGACTTCATTGCAGAACATCATGAAAACAGACCAAACGCTGATATGAAATTAGATGTAGTTGTAAACTATTATTATATATTATCTAGAACACCTATAGTAGATACCAGTGTTTTAAAAAATTCAACATAAACAAATTGAGAAAAATTAACTACTAATGTATTGTTTTTGCAGTCATGAAGAGGTATTATACCTGTGGGGGTGAACCAGCCCTTGTAACAGTAGAGATTGAGCTTTTTTCCCCCTTATTTTTAGAGAGGGGACGGGAGAGAAAGAAACATAATTGTGTGAGAGCTACATCAGTTGGTCGCAATGCCCCAAATGGGGGACCTGGCCTGCAACCTAGGCATGTGCCCTCACTGGGGATCTAAATGGCAACCTTTCAGTTCACAGGCTGGCACTTAATCCATTGAGTCACGCTAGCCAGGGCAAGATTGAGCCCTTGTAATCAATTGTCTTGGTGCTTCTGAGCAACTGTATTCTAGCTGAAAAAGCCTAGATGCCTGACCCATGTCTGGGACAATATTCTGTTAGATCTTTCAGTTGTTGGCAGGAATAGACTTACCCTTCCTAGCAGAGTCACACTCTGGCTGTTTTTGACACTTCTCTATGATGAATACCAAGATTTTGGGGTTCTGGCTCCAACACTAATTAGAGGGTGATTTCCGGCAAGTTAACTAACCTTCCTGAGCTTCATTCAGTTTTTGCTTTTACAAAATGGGAATAATTACAGAGGGCCGTTTGGAGGATTAACTAGCTAGCTATAATACCATGGGCAAATTAGTTAACTGCTCTGCTGTCTAAATTTCCACACCTACAAAACTGGGATTTGTGACCTTATCTAGAAAGGCTGTTGTGAAGATTAATTAAATAAGTGAATACATGTAAACTGCTTACAATGGAAAAAGTCTAACGCTGTGGGTGAAAAAAATGTGGCCCACCATTACTGTGAACCTTGGAGGTTAATGAATATAAAATGAGATGACATACAGATGATGTACATGTATACAAGGGTCAGACGTGTAGATGGTTAGGCTGGGCCCTGACCAAAAAGATCCTAGTATTGAGGAAATGCCTTTGTCCAATCCAGTAGTCAACAGTGGTGAGTGTCCCTAAGGGCCAAATAGGATGCCAATGATACGGTTTTAACAAGATTTCTTTGGAAACGAAATGGAGAAGATATTGGAAGATAAATGGAGGATAGGAAAGAGGAAAAAAATAGCAAGTTCACCACTCTGTAGTTAGGAAAAGTTTTTTCCATTTAATACTAGACTTTCAAGGATTGAGATGCAAGCTTTTTATGCAATTACATCCAATGTTAAAATTGGTAATACATAATTTACAAAGATTAACATCAAAACAATCATCTATTTAGATATGCTTTTGTAAAAAGGAAATATATTAGCAGCATTTATATTTTCCGCAATCACACAGCCTACAGACATGCAGACTAACTGTATCTATTTGCAGTGATGTAGTGCTTTGCCCCGCATTTCAAACACCAAAACCCACCTGGCAGCTAGGGGGTTCTTTTAATTTCGTTATTATAAAATAACCGAAAAATAAAAAAGGCATTAATTTCTACACCAGTAAGAAAAAACAAGTTTTTTTGCACTTACCTAACATTTGATTGTCTAAAAAACATTTCAGTTTTTAGTCTTTCAACAAAAGAAAGATAAAATGACAGAGCGTAGTGTCTTTTGCTTCTGTTCACACATTTTACAAAGTTTTTTTCTTTTTAGTTTTTTTCTTTTTTAAAATTTTAGTGTTTAACACTATTAAAAGAAATATTGAATTTTAAACTCTTTCTTGTCACTTTCCTGCTTTTGACTAAAAGGAGACTCCCAAAGTGCCCCTGTCCCCACCTCCCTCCCACCCAGCTCCCTGAAATGAAAACCAAAAGAAACCACTCAAATGGGCTTGGACATGCGATTTCTCCAGCTCCACATGTGAGTATCTTATACCCGGGCCTCTTAGTAATGTACAGTGCTTCTCTACGGTAAGAAAATACTCCAAACTATTTTCTTAATTCTCTTTTTTCTTTAATAAAATATTTATTCTGCTTTTTCTCTGCTCAAGGGGATCTTTGGCATCCCCTGTTTCTTTTGTCTTTTCCTCAAGATTGACATAGAAAGGAGAAAAAGGAAAAAAGATTTAATGGAATGGAAGGTGGTCAATGTTTCTACCTAAACAAGTCAGAGTGTCGTCATCATAAGGTAAAATGTACAATTAGGACAGCATTGGTCCAATATTAGAAAAAAGTAATGGGGACTTGTTTACTATTGTATTGCTTGCTAATCACGCAGCAGATGTGTATATACACACACACACACACACACATACACACACACATATATATACACACATACAACTTGGCACATTTAAAAACCATCTTTTATAAGAACATCTAAAATGTATATGCATATGTATGTCTGAGAAGACAACAAAGCAAACTTTTTTAAATTTTATTTTTAAAGAGACAGTATTGTCCGATAACTTCTGGCCAAGAGAATGGGAAGGAAGGAAACACCCTGGATATCCCTCCTGATAATCAGGAGGGTAGAGGAAAGATGGAACTAGGGGTGGGGAGAATACACTGTCTCTTTAAGAGATGGACATTAAAAACTGTACAATAAAGAAAACAAAAGTAGTGTTTTCAATTGATAATCTACACTTACAACAAATACTCTGATAGGTGAATACTGTTCAACAGTTCATGTAGTGACTTTTGTTTGGTGGGGGTTAGAGTTCACTTTTACGTAGCTTTTAAAATGATTTTATTTTGAAATGAATTTCCATTCGCACAGCACAGCAGACACACACAAACCACAGCGCATAAACCGTACATGTGCTGGGGTGGGGGGCCTGGCCTTCTCATTAGAAAAAAATACTTTCGGCAGGTTATAAAGGTTAAAACAAAGTTAATTATAGTAAGTACTGTGCCCTCTGACCCCATGGGGGCCTTCCCTATTCCATGATTCCATTTGGGGGAGTAGGAGTAGGGAGAGGGCCAATAGCTACAAGTGCTTTGAGTTATCAACTCATGTTTAACTTTGACCTGGTTGGGCAAGAAAGGGGAGAGAAACTTTCCTAATTAGGGATCTGGAAAGAGGCCCCAGCTACTGTTTTCTGTCTTAAGTCTCTGGGATAGCTTTTAGAGCCCACAGAAAACAGACAGTAGGCATGGGTGGGGTTCCTGGCCCTATACCTTTGGACTTTGACTTACACACACCTGGGTACGGGAAGCAGCTTCTTAGCAGTGCCTGTGGGATCAGAGCATGACAGAAAACCCAAGCTGGGGGAGGGGCAAGTGTTGTAAAGTACCAGTGGTTTTGGTCATCTTTAATGTGCTCTATCCTCCTCCCTACATTATTTTTAACCTTCTAGATAAATGGAGAGGAAAACAAGTTAAATTGAACTGGTTAGACAGATCCCCTTCCCTCTTCCTCTCCACTAGCTCCAATGTTTATTAAGTACCTAATGTTAATGACATCGCCCCATTCCCCTTGCTAGATGGACCCTTCCCGCCCCTGTCTACATTCAGAGAACAGGAGGCAGGATTGTTGGCTCCACTGGATCCGAGATGCTTGAGGTTGTCATTCTTTGAGGTTCATTTCCGAAAGCTGTTTTCTGGGATAAACAGAGTACGCCTTCGTAGTTTCCTGCCTGATCCTTCCTCCAGCAAGTAGGTCACATCGATAGCTGAAAACAGAACCAAGGACGTTGATCAAACACCATCCATCAGCCTACTCCTTATTCCAGATTTGAGCTCTAAGAAGATCAAAGGAGCTCAATGATTCCTTTTCTGACCTATAAGCAATTTAGGCCTTCCTCAGCCCTAGATTAAAAGAAAAAAACAAAACAGACTTCCGGCCAAGATGGAGGTGCAGGTAGACACACTGTGCCTCCTCACACAACCAAAATAAGGACAACAAATTTAAAAACAAAAAAAAACCCCACCAGAACTGACAAAAAATTGAACTGTATGGAACTTCAACAACCAAGGAGGTTAAAGAAGAAAACATTCATCCAGACTTCCACCAAGATGGAGGCATAGGTGGATGTGCCGTGCCTTCTCACACAACCAAGTTTAGAGACAACTAAATATTAGCAACAGAAAACACAGCCAGAACAAAGAAAATTGAACTTTTCGGAAGTCCGTTAACAACAAATTCTTCAGCCTGACCGGTAAGGGGCGAAACCAGCGGCTGGTGAGGGGTTGTACAGGAGGACTCGGTCAGACGGACTCAGGTGTGCGGAATCCAGACGCCCAGAATCCAGGCGCAGGGTTGGACCTAGTGAGCGACTGAACGAGCGACCAGGCGAGCGACTGCGGGGGACCGGGGCTGCGTGTTGACTGTGGTCGCCCATTTGTGCGCGGGTGGACAGGCGAGTGAGGGGGCGGTTGGACCGGGGCCAGTGGGTCCCCGCAGCAAACGGCAGTGGAGGGTGCCGCCATTTCCCTGCTCCGACCCCACCTCCACATACAGCGTCATAACCCAGCGACTCTGAGTTGCCCGGCCCAGTTGAACCACCTAAGGTGCTGCTCCTCACCCAGCTGTGAGAAACAGCAGAGGGGGTCGCCATTTCCCTGCTCAGACCACGCCCCCACATACAGCGTCACAACCCAGCGCCCTGGGAGTCCAAGGCGCCGCTTCTCACACTTAAAGGGTGCGAACAGACCAAAAATGGCGCAAGAAGATCTCAAAGCCCCAGAGCCTATAGATCTAAGTGATGAAGAAATAGCAAAACTCTCAGACGCACAGTTTAAAACACTGGTGATCAGGATCCTCACAGAACTGGTTGATTATAGCCACAAATTAGACAAATATATGAAGGTGAAACTAATTAAAATGAATGGAATTGCACAGGACACCAATAGCAATGAAAAGAAAACTGGGACTCAAATCAATGGAGTGGACCAAAAGAAAGCAAATAATGGCCAAACAGAAAAGAGTCAGGAAGCAAGAATTCAAAGAAATGAGGAGAGCCTTAGGAACCTCCAGGACATCTTTAAACGCTCCAACATCCGAATTATAGGGGTACCAGAAGGGGGAAAGGCACAGCCACCAGTGGAAAACTTATTTGAACAAATAATAAAGGAGAATTTCCCCAATCTGGCAAAGGAAATAGACTTCCAGGAAATCCAGGAAGCTCAGAGAGTACCAAAGAAGTTGGACCCAAGATGGAACACACCAAGGCACATCATAATTACATTAGCCAAAATTAAAATGAAGGAGAGAATCTTAGAAGCAGCAAGAGCTAAGGGGACAGTCACCTACAAAGGAGTTCCCATCAGACTGTCAGCGGATTTCTCAAAAGAGACCTTACAGGCAAGAAGGGGCTGGAAAGATGTATTCCAAGTCATGAAATCCAAAGACCTACAACCAAGATTGCTCTATCCAGCAAAACTTTCATTTAGAATGGAAGGACAGATAAAGTGCTTCTCAGATAAGATCAAATTCAAGGAGTTCATCATCACCAAGCCCTTATTATATGAAATGTTAAAGGGACTTATCTAAGAAAAAGAAGTTAAAGAAACATGAACAGTGAAAGGACAACAAACTCACAGTTATTAACAACCACACCTAAAACGAAAGCAAACTAAAAGGACAGCTAGATCAGGAGTGGAAACACAGAAATGAAGATCTCAAGGAGGGTTAGCAACAGGGGAGTGGGAGGAGGAGAAGGGGGGAGAAGGTACAGAAAATAAGTAGCATAGACAGTAGATAGAAAATAGATGGGGGGGCAAGAATAGCATGGGAAATATAGAATCTAAAGGACTTGAGCCACATGGTCATAAACTAAAGGGGGGGTAATGGTGATGGGGGGGTAGGGTGGAGGAGAATGAAAGGGGAAATAGAACAACTGTAACAGCATAATCAGTAAAAAAATTTAAAAAAAAAATAAAGAAAAGAAAACATTCACCCAGACCCATGGGAGGGGTGGAGACAGGCAGCTGGGTGGAGAGGACTCGAAGGGCAAAGAGGACTCTTGGCAAGGTGGTGGCTGGCAGACTGGGTGGTCCCACATTTGAATGCAGAACAACTGGGGAGTGAGACAGACCATGCGATCCAGGGTTCCAGTTCAGAAAAACAAAGCCTCAAAGCCTCTGCCTGAAAATACCTGCGGGGGTTGAGGCAGCAGGAGAACTCCCAGCCTCACAAGAGAGTTCACTGGAGAGATCCACAGGGTCCTAAAATGTGCACAAGCCCACCCACCTGGGAATCACCACCAGAAGGGGCCAATTTGATTGTGGGTAGCGGCAGAAGTGACTGAAAACTGGCAGAAAGCTGACCAAGTGGCATTGTTCCCTCTCAGACTCCTCCCCCACATACTGCGTCACAACAGAGCAACATGGGTTGCCCCGCCCTGGTGAACACCTAGGGCCCCACCCCTTACTACGTTAATAGGAGTACTGAGACCCAAAAAAAAAAAGGCTCAAATGAAAGAACACATCAAACCTCCAGAAAACATACAACTAAGTGATGAAGAGTCAGCCAATCTATCAGATGCACAGTTCAAAGCACTGGTGAAGAGGATGCTCACAGAATTGTTTGAATTTGGTCACAAATCAGATGAAAAAAATAAAGCCTATGCTAAGTGAAATAAGGAAAATGTAGAGGGAACCAAGAGTGAAGGGAAGGAAACCAGGACTCAAATCAATGGTGTGGAGCAGAAGGAAGAAAGAAACATCCAACCAGAATAGACTGAAGAAACAAGAATTCAAAAAAATGAGGAGAGGTTTAGGAACCTCCAGGACATCTTTAAACATTCCAACATCCAAATCATAGAGGTACCAGGAGGGGAAGAAGAAGAGCAACAAGTGGAAAAGTTATTTGAACAAATAATAAAAGAGAACTTCCCCATTCTGGCAAAGGCAATAAACTTCCAGGAAATCCAGGAAGCTCAGAGAGTCCCAAATAAGTTGGACCCAAGGAGGAACACACCAAGACACATCATAATTGCATTACCCAAGATTAAAATGAAGGAGAGAATTCTAGAAGCAGCAAGAGATAAGGGAACAGTCACCTACAAAGGAGTTCCCATCAGACTGTCAGACTGTACCTTAGAGGCAGGAAGGGGCTGGAAAGCAGTATTCCAAATCATGAAAGACAAGGACCTACATCCAAGATTACTCTATCCAGCAAAGCTTTCATTTAGAACAGAATGGAAGATAAAGTGCTTCTCAGATAAGGTCAAGTTAAAGGAATTCATCATCACCAAGCATTTGTTAAATGAAATGCTGAAGGGACTTATCTAAGAAAAAGAAGATAAAAAAGGTGAACAGTGAAAGGACAGCAAACTCACATTTATTAACAACCACACTAAAACAAAAGCAAACTAAGAGGACAGCTAGATCAGGAGCAGAACCATAGAAATGAAGATCACATGGAGGTTTAGCGACAGGAGAGTGGGAGGAGAAGGGGGGAGAAGGTACGGAGAATAAGTAGCATAGACTGTAGGTAGAAAATAGACGGGGGAGGGCAAGAATAGTAGGGGAAATATAGAATCTAAAGAACTTGAGACATGTGTTCATAAACTAAAGGGGGGGTAATGGTGGGGGAGGGGGTGTGCAGGGTGGGGGGGAATGAAGGGGGAAAATAGAACAACTGTAATGGCATAATTAATAAAATATATTTAAAAAAATTAAAGAACAAACAAACAAAATAAACAAAACTTGTTCTCTAGGGAGGAGATCCTCTCACCTCTCACAGTTTCCTTCCCAAGATATAACTAAAAGCAGGCCCATGAAAGAACTATACCCTTTTTTAAGAATACTTTCCATTATGGACAAATAATTAGAAGATGTTCTTTCTCATTTCCCCTCCTCTCATTCTCTGTTTATTTTAAACACTAGATATTAGTCTGATTCTTCTTACCATTTTTCCCCGGGATTTTGTCAAGGAGATTGAGCAGTATCTGGTTGAGTCGTTCCCGTTGGTTATGCCGTCGTTCCTCAGGGGTACAGGCTGACTGGGCTTCTTGACCACTCTCTTCTGTTTTTTTTCCACCCTCACTGACTTCAGCAGTAGCCCCCTCCTGTTCTGGCTCCTCCAGGCTTGGCATCTCACTGGCTGCTTGCTCTTGACTGGCCAGAACCTCTTCAATTAAGGGCAGAGCATCATCCTCCTGGCCCAAGTCTTTTAGGGGTGCCTTGGAACGCTCAGACTTCCAGGACGATCTGCCAGAAGGGTATGTAAACTTAGAGTAAGTGTGAGAAGGACACTAGTAGGTGGAAGGGGCATGAAGGGAAGACACTTTGAGATCCTAAAGCCTAGCTGTTAGAGCCTTGGCTTAAGAGGTAAGAAACTTGTCTCTGGTCTTCCCATTATTATTATTTGAACAAATCACCACTTTTTTCTGAAATTTAATTTCGATTTGTAAAATTCAATTTTTCTTCTTTTTTGCAGGAATCCAACAAATCCATAAAATATATCAGAGGTGGTAAAACTGCTTAGCTAGTTTTAACTGACTGCTTCATGTGTACAGAGAAGTATGATGCCACTCTGGAATACAATCAGTTCAACTACAATAAGTATTTCAATGAAATTTTTACTTTTCCTAAATCTCTTTTCACATCTATTATCCGGTATCTTTTCCCCTTACGGTAAGATACTGATGATGTAGGTAAACCAGTTATACTGCCATTCAACAGAAAAAGAAACTGAAGAAAAAGCCTTCAGTGACCCTTCTGCAAGAATATCCATTATGTACAAAACAAACACAAATAAAAACTGTAAGTCAAACTGCTCAGCTGAAACTGCATTTCTAGCTTATGTTTGTTCCTTGACGAAGGTCCCAAGAGCTGATATACCTTGGCATAATGGGTAAAGCTCACAGAAACCTAAAAACAAAACTTTTCTGCATTTGCCTAGACCTCTGCTCCAAATGCTGTTCTTTACTGGTAATCCTTGCAAAATCTCTTTCTCTGCCCTTCCTCCTGGCACTACATTAGACTACTCTGTCAGAGAATCCCCAATCCTAGGGGTCGGTCAGAGTGGGTAGGGGGTTGTTCTTGTTCCATTCAGGTTGTTGGTGAACCCCTTAGGCTCTTCACATCCCCACTGGACTCACCGCCCTCCGTTCCGCTTGTAGTTGTCTGGAACATAATGAGGCTGCAGAGAAGAAAAAGAAGCAGTAAGTGTACTGCGGAAGCTGGCGCCAACTCAGGATAGGGAGGTAAAGGAAGGAAAAATAGGGGCTAACGCCTTTATAAGCTGGACAACCATATTTTAAAGTCATAAATTCAGTACTTTTATTAATCTGTAGGCCACAGTGATTTTTACTATTTGTAAGCCTACTCAAGAAAAACGGTAGGCTCACAATTCTTTTGTCTAGTTAAGCTTGGGGTTTCAAGCTAATCAGTGACCTGTTGACTAAGCAACCAAGACCTAAGAAGTCTAAGGAGAGGAAGGGCTTGGTGGTGGGTAGAAAGAATACAGAATAAATACCTACTTAGAGAAGTCTAAAAATAATAATAGGAAAACAAGCGCATAAAGGTGTGCTTTCTGGTTAGACTACTTCCAAGCATTCCAGTTTGACAGCTATGAATTTTGACAGGCTCCCTTAGAAGAAGAGGATGAGGAGAGCTCAGTCCAGGGTTACATTATAGCAAAGAGATGGATGAGTGACCAACACTTTATGAAGTGACCAAACACAAAATAATCAGAGGAGTAAGTTCACAACAATTCAAAAGAAAAATACACATAGGAAAAAGGCTGATAAGAAAAATATTAACAGTGGTTTGGGTAGAAAGATAATACAGTTATGTGCCAGTTAATGATGGGAAACGTGTGGTAGGACGATTTTGTTTTTGTGTGAACATTATATAGAGTACTTGTACACAAATCTAGATGGTATTGCCTATTACACACCTAGGCTATAGGGTACAGCCTATTGCTCCTCCATAGGATGTTACTGTACTAGATACTGCAGGCATCTGTAACCCAATGGTAAGCATGTGTATCTAAACACAGAAAAGATACAGTAAAAATATAGTATAAAAGATGTTTTAAAAAGGGCCCTGGCTGGTGTGGCTCGGTAGATTGAGCATAGGCCTGCGAACCAAAGGGTTGCTGGTTCAATTTCCAGTCAGGGCACATACCTGGGTTGCATGCCAGATCCCCAGTAGGGGGTGTGTGAGGGGCAAACACATTGATATTTCTCTCCCCCTCTTTCTCCCTTCCCCTCTCTAAAAATAAAATCTTTCAAAAACAATTTAGAGGATAAAAAAAATGGTGCACCTGTATAGGACACTTTCCATGAATGGAACCTAGCAAGACTGGAAGTTGCTCTGGATTGAGTCAGTAAGTGAGTAGTGAGTAAATGTGAAGGCCTAGAACATTATTGTAAACTACTCTAGACTTTATAAACAGTACGCTTAGGCTATACCAAGCTTATAAAACAACACAAAATGAAATCAAGCACAAGAGAAAATGATGCGATTAAGAAATGCAATAAACCTGAGATGTGAGTTTGTTGCTGCTTTAACACGGCATACTGTTTACAGCAAATTTTCTTTTTTTTGATAAGCAGAAATACACTTTAAAATAACAATGAAAAGTATAGTAAATACATAATAAAGTAATAGTTGTTCATTATCATTATCAAGAATTATGTACTGTACATAATTGTATGTGCTGTACATTTATATGAGTAGAAGCGCAGTAGGTTTCTCTACAGCAGCATCCCCACAACACATGCGAGTGATGCACTGTGCTAAATGTTACAGAGTTACCAGGTGACAGGAATTTTTCAGCTCTTTTATAACTTTATGGGACCACCAGAGTTATGCAGTGCATGACTGGATACAATTTTCTTCTTAATGCTTTGTACTTTAAAAATTTTGTATAATGATGTCTTCTATTTTAAACCCGGTGACAAACAGAAAAAACACTGAACTATTTTCGCCAAAGGTTTCTTGGGGTTCTAGATTCTACTTGCTTTTTAAAATTATGGGTGTAAAAAACAAAACAAAAAACTGTAATATGGGGATCAAGGGCAAAGATTATAAAGAGGTAAGAGAGAAAAAGGATGAAAACCTGACTAAAGTGTAATCAGGAAATCAAAAATTTCCTGAGAACTAGCTCATGCCAGGAAATGCAGAACAAATGTGTTTATGCAAACATCCCAGATAGAGATGGAGACTTCTAGAGTTTGGGATAGAAACAGGATGACGAAGCAGTGAGCCACTTGAGAATTCTTACTCTGTGAATTCCATGCATGAACTAGACAGTCCTGATGCATACAGTTAGGGTAGAAAGGAGACTTACCAAAAAATCTCTTTTGGGAGTGAGCTTCTTGGTGAAGTGATCAAAGGCATAGGGCTTGGTACAGACAGGATAGCGGTTCCGGTGGATCTTGTAAAACAGGTGTGCTGACTTGTCAAGCCGATAATCACAGATGTACACGTCTTGCTCCTTTACTCCTTTGGGTCTCCCTATGGGTCCAAACATGGTTACATAATCCTCCAATTTTCCCTTCTCTCCCTGAGCTGGCCAGATATTACCACACCACTGGGAGAGCAGTTAGACCCTTTAAGAGGGAAATACTATAGCTATTACTAAGCATTTGGTGACTGCAGAAGAAAGGAGAATTCTTAGATACAAGCAACAAAAAAGGAAAGTGGGTGTCTAGGAGTTGAAGGACATACTATGGGATGGAAAGAATACAGAAATGATTATTGGAGTACTGCAGGGATTTTTGAGGGAAAACAGAGCAGAATATGGGGAAGTTTTGAGAAAAGAAGGGCAGTATAAATAAGGAAAGCATATTTGGAAATGAACACTTTGTAACTGGGGGAACGGAAGTGTCATTAGTAGCACAAAGCTCCAAATAGACACGTTTTTGAATAGGATATGTATTCTTTTGGACCACTTTGCTACGACTAAATTGCAACAACTAATACACGCTGAACTTTTTACTGTGACCATAAACTGGGCTAAGTGCTTTTGTAGATGATTTCATTTAATCTTTACAAAACCCTAGAATATAAACTAATCCATTTTTTATTTAATCTCTACTGTATTTTTCCCCATTATCACAGTCCCTTTATACCTCCCCCTACTCCAATAATCCCCATTTACAATAGGTAAAGTGCCTTGTCCAAGGACACATAGGTAAAAAGTGGTGGAATGGGAATTATGAAATTAGCCTACATTGTTAACCATGAAGCTTATAAAACTTTTGTGCTTTTCTTTTGTTTGTTTAATGTATAGAGTTGATGATGGCCTTAAGAATTTTGGAACTGGTGATGAAGGAACATAATTTTCCCACAAACACTAAGAAAGTGCCAACTATGCACTATTACAAATAAAAAAGATAAAAACAATAAACATTGAGTACCAAGAACTTGGTAAAAGAAAGAAAAAAATAGCCCTGGCTGGTATGGCTCAGTGGATTGAGTACTGGCCTACAAACCAAAGGGTTGCTGGTTCCCAGTTAGGGTACATGCCTGGATTGTGGGCCAGGTCCCAGTTGGGGGTATACAAGAGGGAACCACACACTGATGTTTCTCTCCCTCTTTTTCTTCCTCCCTTCCCCTTTCTCTAAAAATAAATAAATAAATAAATAAATAAATAAATAAAATCTTAAAAAAAAAGTAACATAGCATAGCTCTCTAACTTTGGACAATCTTTTATCAGACACAAACAGTAAGAATGACGTGGGTAGTTATATATAGTTCAATGATTAGGGGATATAGGTCATTTCTTAAGCAGCCCAGATCATATTACCTTTGCAATATGTATAAAGGTCCAATACACAGCAGGTCCCCACTACTGCCTCCAAGGGAATGATCTCATACAGTGGCACCCGAAATAATTCATTGTGATAGAACCGACGTGATGGAGAATGGTGAGTTTCATGGGGACGGAAATAATGGTGGCCAAAGGCAAACCGTTCCTCTCTAAAAATACAAAAGAGAAGGGAGAGGTTTAGTTCGTTAGCAAGATCCTAGTGAATATTAAGCTCTGTGCAGGGAGGGCACAACTGGAAGAAAAAGGATCTCAATACATACTTCTCATTCTTCCAAAGCTTCTCAATGCGGAAGATGTCAAGTTTATCTCTGTTAATGTGAGATAACAGTCGATAGGACTGACGGACTGGGTGGCCATCAGGGGTGCGTCGACTATCCCTCATCAGATATACACAGTCACCTAGGAAGGCAGAGAATACAGGAGAAGGTTAAAATGCTTCCTGCGTGAATTCTTTTCTTAAAAAATTTATTTATTTATTCATTTTGAGAGAGAGAGAGGAAAGGAGTGAGAGAAACATTGGTTTGTTGTTCCACTTACTTACACGTTCATTGATTGATTCTTGCATGTGCCCCGACCAGGGACTGAACCTACAACCTTGGGGTATCAGGATGACACTCTAATCAATTGAGCTACCTGTCCAGGGCCGATTCCTGCATGAATTAGGTACCCTTGGTCTGACCCAAGGTGTACTACACAGAAAGAACTTAAAATCTAAAACAATATATCCAATCAGCAGTTTAATGGTAACTAAACTCTAGACAATGAAAGTGACATGATTGAGATCTTCCATCTTTTAGAATCTTCTACGTCCTTCCTAGTCTTAAAATTAGCTTTCTAACATCCTGTTCTCTCCACATTAGTTTTATTTGGTAAAGGGGAAATGTATGTAAGCCTAAGGACTGAAGGATATAAAAATCTTAATTTTATTGTTACTGAAGGTCATATGGAGTCAATGACTATTGTGCAGACAGCACACACCTTCTACTATCCAGAAAGGTCAGCTTTGACAAGCAGGGCGAGCTCCTGTGTACGTACCTTGACGAAGCAGCAAGTCATCTCGGAGCAAACAGATGAAGTAGACACAGCCAGGTTGAGCATAATGGGGCCGAGGGATCATGGGTACCTCCTAAGAAGAGCAGAATGCCAATGGATGAGGCTGGGACTACTACTAGTAGTCCAGCCTGCTGCTGATCTCTATTCAAGAGGAAGAGAACTAAAACCAGGAATTCCCAACCAATTAAGACTTAACTTTTAGTCATTTTGACACACCACAGACATGTAACAAAATATGAAAGCAACTGGAGTTGTTAAACTTGGGAAAATAAAGGTAGAGGACAAAACGAACAGGCTAAGTACCCCAAACTATATGCTATGAAGCACTAATTGTGCTGTTGTTCTGTGCCATCTAGAAGGCATCTGAAAATGTATAAATGGGCACTTGGTCACAACAATTGGGGGAGCTACTAGCATTTAGTTCCCACAGGCGAGAGATACCAAGTATTCTGCAATGCACTCCTCACAACATAAAGCTGTTCACTCAAAATGATATTAGCACCACTGTTAAAAAATAATGCCTAAATACCTCTTTTTTATAGAGGTGACTTTCCCAGTATCGCACACATAAATATAGTGGAGCCAAAACAAAAATGCCATTTAATACCTTGCGCAAGCTACCCAATCCACAGTCTTTCCTGGAGTGTGGAGCTAAGGTTAACTTTTGCTGACTCTGAGTCAAGTGCTCTTCTCACTTAAACACTGCTTGACATAAGTAGTATTTACAGTACCAGGTTTTACAAGCAACTTCTTTTATAAATAGCTGATAGTGTTTATAAAAACCATAGTTTTATATAGTATTATTCTTTCCACAGATTTCTAGACATTTTATTTCATTTGATCACACTCCTAAAAAAAGAAAGGACAGAATTATTACCCTCAATGTAAAGTATAAGAAACTGATGCCCAGAGGTTGGAATGACTTATCAAAGGCAATTCCGTACACCAGGAGCAGGGCAGACAAGAAGATATCATGCACTACATCTCCTATTTTTAGATCGGAGTACTATCAGAAAACAGCTTACTCTGTCCATGGGCCTTGGGTCGCACTGCTCACAAAGGTAGTGCTCCACATCCGAGTTCACTCCCATACAGTCGCAGTGCTGCCACACCTGTAGAAAAAACAAGTGCGGTGGGGGGAAAGGGGGGAAGTCTTAAGACTTACTGAGAAGTCCTGGGGGCTAAGAAAAAAAAATTAACGAGAGAGGGTAAAATAAAACAGGAATTAATTAAGAGATAAGTAGGCATGTGAAAAACTGGATGAAATAGGGGCAAAAAGAAGAAAGCCTTGGCTGAACACTAGTATACAGACTGGTTCACAATATAGATCTGGGCAAATAAAATAGAAAGATGGATAGTGAATGGGGAAAAGGAATAAATACAGTACCAAATTTATTACTTAATAAATAATATACATCAATGATATAGTTACCATGAAAGGCTTTAACAGTTACAAAATATTTTTACTTATCCTTATCTAATTATATTTCCCAACAATCTTATGTGTAGCTCCACTTTCTATAGATTACAAGTTTAGATACATCAAAAGCAGATACTAGGGCTTAAATTGAGGCCTTGACTCCTTCCTCAGGAGCTCTATATACTACACTCCAACTGCATCAATGCTATAAAGAATGTAGTATCTCTTCAAGATAAGGCACTATCATAAATACTATCATTCTTCTTGATCCAGATGGAAAGTGGGCAGAAAGAAGGGAGGATAAAATGAAACAGACAAATATAAAAAAGAAGAAAAACAATATGGTAGACAGTGAGAGATAAAAGAAACCAAGGCAAAAAGTTAAAGTTTATAAAAAGCCTATCACACCAGGTCAAAAGAGACACGGGCTACTTCTTCAAATGTGATCACCGTGTTCATCAGGACTACGTTTCTGCTTCACCTCCTGACCCTCACCATGCACTTGTCACACTGGATCATGAGGCCTTCGTCCTTGTAGAGGCCACAGATACAGCGGATAACATCATCATCCTTCTCATGCCCATTCTCCTTCTCAGAGACTGAGGTCTCACTGCTGTCTGCCTCACTTGCTGTCTCTCCCACAATCTCATCGATTTGGGCTGATGCCTCATGCCGGGCGTTATAATAGGCCTTTCGCAGGCGGCAAACATCTCTTCCAACTGGGGATTTACGCCCGTAGTACTTCTGAAGAAAGCAGAAGAAAGAAATCATGTTTGGTCTTCTCAATATGGCTTAGAAATATACTTGAAGAGGTAGCAGGATTTTTTTATCCTCCTATTTTGATTAACAGGTATTCAATACCATCAAGCATAGCGCCAGGCATCTGAAAACAACCTGAACTAAGATGAATTAACATTAGAATCTGCATGGTAATTTTTCCATTTGCTCTATTGCTCTGCCATTCAACTCCTTTCATAGGTCTTACTGTCCACTTGATAAAATACACAGTGACCATGAAATATGAGTTAATATCATTAAGAATAATGCTGTGGAGAGCTCATTTACTTTTGTCTTGCAGATATTAGGGACAGAGCTAAAAGCTTTAAATATATATATAAAAGCTGCGTCTCAATAAAAAGCATGTTATCATTCAAGATTGCTCTAATTCTTCCACTACATGTCATTCTCTCATTTCTTGTCTTCAACATTAATTCTTCCTTCAGCTAGTAGCCTCTTTTATCCTTCAAACACCTCTTTGAGGCATTTCAAAAACCACGGAATAGTTTCCTCTCCTCTGTGCACCATACATTATTCCGTCCTCTCCTTTCAATCAGTTCAAAATCACCTCCTAATAAGCTTCACCTACTCTACAACTTACTCATGCAATGCCCCTAAATTCCACTGTTAAGATATATTTATAATTACTTATAATACTTCTCTGTATTTCATATAAACTTACTGTCTTAAGGAAAAAATTGTAGATATTATTTAAATGTAGTAAAATGTCTGTTATATGAAGATTCAATACTTAAATTAGGTTTGTACAAAAACTGTTTTCTTGAGGAGTGTGATTTAACCTTCCATTTTAGTCATAAATGTCTTTATTATACAATATTCTATAATATTTAGTACTCTGTAATATTTATCCTAAGGGTAAGCAAAAAATAAAAAAGACAACTGCTGCCTTTCTTAACCAGACATATGAAGTTTGACAGAAGGAGGTAAAAATCTTAAAACTCCTAGTCTTTTCTTCAGAACAAACTCCTTAAATTTGTGTTTGAAGTCAGTGAGAAATACCTCAGCGTTCCGAAAAACCTTGAGCATGTCAGCATCAAAAGCCTCCACTGTTTTATAATAACCAATGAGGATCTGCTTCTCTATGGTAGAAAGATCTAGGGGATCAGAGATCTTCTCGTAATAATCAGCATTCCTGGAACATAAAGCCAAGATGTCAATCTGGTACACCCAGTACTTTTCTAAAATTCAAATGATTCCCACATACATGAACTTACTTTTTCTTTGGGGGGAGGTTCAAAAGTGGTGCCGCCAGTGCTTGTCGGGAAGAATCTACAAAAGAATGCAGGGTTTAATAGAAGGACTATATGACACAAGGGAGACAGAATCCCTAAAATTAAGTTAGAAAAAGAAATCTAAGTTGTTTTTTTTTCTTTTTTTTGAAGCCTAGCTATGACAAATGCAAGGATTTTTCAGAAATGTAGGTAAAGGCAGGGATCAGAAGACACTTCCAGAATTATCTGAAATACAAAAGATATGTATATATACTTGAAATGTAACACAATGTTAGGTGGGTAATAAGAAAAGCCTTCTATGAAGAATGAGAGATGGGAACTTATTTAGGTAGCTAGGTCCCTTAGTGCGAATTTCAGCTCAAGAATTCATATTACAGCAAAGATTATCTCATCCAGAAATGTTTTCTAGTTCTCGTTAGTATTACTCTGTTGGTTTGGATTCAATTAAATTACAGATAATGGATAATTGAGTACTGTAAATATTTTCTGGAGTCCTGTATTATTATAATGCTTACTTTGTATTATAAAAATAGAAATCATGCTGTGGGGCTACTCCTCACTTGATTTCTAGCAATTTAATATATACCACAAATATAAATATTATATTATACAATATGCTATGTAATAAAGCAATAATATATAATTACATAATAATATGTATTATAATATTACATTATATATGTGTGTGTGTGTGTGTGTGTGTATATATATATATACACCCTGTTGTTTCTTGCCCAGAATGTAGTAGACATGTAGATGTATCTATTGCAGTTTCACCTTAGATCAGATGAAGCTGGTTGAGAATGCAGATCTGTTATTCTTAGGGAATGGGAAGGGCATAGCTGTCACAACACTTTACATTTTAGAACTGGTTGGTTCTCTTTTTCATCTCTATTACCTTAGGTTAACAAAACTGTAAAAAGCTACTAAAATACAAAAAGGCCCTGGCCAGGTAGCACACTTGGTTAGAGTATTGTACCAATAAGTCAAAGTCGTGGGTCTAATTCCTGGTCAGGGTACATACAAGAATCAACCAATGAATGCATAAATAAGTAAAAAACAAATCAATGTTTCTCTCTCTACCCCAATCCCAAAATCAATAATAATAATAATTAATAATAAAAATTCTGTGAAATGGGAGTTCTAAAATATGAAGAAAAACAGAGAAAGAGAAAAAAAAATTCTCAGAATTTAGGAAAAGGAAGAGAAGACCAGCCAAAGTTGATGGCAAAAAGCTGCAATTATGTGTTAAAAGCTCTCATATTAAATATCTCCAAATTTCCTGGTCATAAAAAGTCATGTACAGGACTTCCGGCCAAGATGGAGGAATAGGTGGAAACACTGTGCTTCCTCACACAACCAAGTTTAAAGACAACAAAGTTTTAGTAACAAAATGCAGCCAAAATAGACAAAAAATGGAACTGTACGGAAGTCTAACAACGAACCGTTCATCCAGACCAGTATGAGGGGCGGAGTCAGCAGCAGACCGGGGTCGGGGGAGGGGGGCAAAAAAGATCCGCTGGATGGACCCAGGAGCTCAGGGGAGCTCTGGAGCTCAAGGGAGCTCTGGAGCTCTGGAGCTCTGGAGCTCAGGAGTGCAGGCGGCAGTTGGTGGATCCCAGGCGTGGGGTGGCAATGGGCGGACCCAAAGAGGGCACAAGGCTGACCATGGTCACACACTAGCGGCGCAGATAAACAAAGGGAAGAAGCAGGCAGTGAGACAGGCCGCTCAGGCCAGGGTCCCAGTGATGGGAATTAGAGCCTGAAAGGACCAACTGGAAGGACTTTCAGGGTTGAGGTACCAGGAGAAGCTCCCTGGCTCACAGAGTTCACTGGAGAGACCCACAGGGTCCTGGAGGGTGCACAGGCCCACACACCCAGGAGCCGGGACCAGAAGGGCCCAATCTGCTTGTGGGAAGCAGCAGAGGGGACAGAAATCTGAGAGAGAGCAGAACAAACGCCACTGCCCCTCTCTGACCCCACCCCTACATACAGCATCACAACTCAGCAACCTGGGTTGCCCCACTGTGGTGAACACCTAAGGCTCTGCCCCTCATATGTAACAGGTGTGAACAGACCAAAACATTATGGCTCAAGAACAGCTCAAAGCCCCAGAGCCAATACTTCTAAGCGACCAAGAGATAGCTAACCTTTCAGATGCACAGTTCAAAACACTGGTGATCAGGATGCTCACAGAACTGGTTGATTTTAGTCACAAATTAGAGGAACGAATGAAGGCTACACTAAGTGAAATGAAGCAAAATGCACAGGGAACCAACAGTGATGGGAAGGAGACTGGGACTAAAATCAATCAAGTGGACCAGAAGGAAGAAAAAAATGACCAAACAGAAAACAATGAAGAAAGAAGAATTCAAAAAAATGAGGAGAGGCTGAGGAACCTCCAGGACATCTTTAAATGTTCCAACATCCGAATTATAGGGATACCAGAAGGTGAAGAGGAACAGCCATGAGTGGAAAACTTATTTGAACAAATAATAAAGGAGAACTTCCCCAATCTGGCAAAGGAAATAGACTTCCAGGAAATCCAGGAAGCACAGAGAGTCCCAAAGACTTGGACCCAAGAAGTAACACACCAAGCCACATCATAAATACATTAGCCAAGATTAAAAGGAAGAAGAGAATCCTAGAAGCAGCAAGAGATAAGGGGACAGTCACCTGCAAAAAAGTTCCCAGCAGACTGTCAGCAGATTTCTCAAAAGACACCTTACAGGCAAGAAGGGGCTAGAAAGAAGTATTCCCAGTGATGAAATCCAAAGACCTACATCCAAGATTGCTCTATCCAGCAAAGCTTTCATTTAGTATGGAAGGACAGATAAAGTGCTTCTCAGATAAGATCAAATTCAAGGAGTTCATCATCACCAAGCCCTTATTATATGAAATGTTAAAGGGACCTATCTAAGAAAAAGAAGACAAAAAAGATGAACAGTGAAAGGACAGCAAACTCACAGTTATTAAGAACCACATCTAAAACAAAAGCAAATTAAGAGGACAGCTAGGTCAGGAGTGAACCACAGAAATGAAGATCACATGGAGGGTTAGCAACAGGGGAATGGGAGAAGGAGAAGGGGAGAAGGTAAGAAAATAAGTAGCATAGCCCTGGCTGGTGTAGCTCAGTGGATTGAGCACAGGCCTGCGAACCAGACAATCGCGGTTCGATTCCCAGACAGGGCACATACTGGGGTTGCAGGCAGGTTCCCTGCAGGCCAGTTCCCAGCAGGGGACGCAGGAAAGGCAACCATACATTGATGTTTCTCTCCCTCTCTCCTTCCCTTCCCCTCTAAATAAATAAAATCTTTGAAAAAAAAAAAAAAGAAAATAACATAGACATAGACAGTAGATAGAAAATAGATAGGGAGGAGGGTAAGAATAGGAGGATAAATATAGAATCTAAAGAACTTGAGACATGTGTTCATGAACTAAAGGGGGGAATGGTGGGGGAGGGCGTGTGCAGGGTGGAGGGGGAAAGAAGGAGGGAAACAGAACAACTGTAATGGCATAATCAATAAAATAAAAAATATATTAAAAAATAAAAAATATATACATAAATAAAAAGAAAAAAATTTGGGAAAAAAGAAAAAGAACCACACCTAAAACAAAAGCAAACTAAGAGGACAGCTCGATCAGGAGTGAAGTATAGAAATGAAGATCACATGCAGAATTAGCAACAGGGGAGTGGAAGGAGGAGAAGGGGGGAGAAGGTACAGAAAATAAGTAGCAAAGACGGTAGGTAGAAAGTGGACAGGGGGGAGGGCAAGAATAGTAAGGGAAATACAGAATCTAAAGAATTTGTGACACATGGACATAAATGAAAGGGGGGGAATGGTAGGGGTGGGGTGTGCAGGGTGGAGGGCAATGAAGGGGGGAACAGAACAACTGCAATGACATAATCAATAAAATATATTTTAACAAATTAAATAAAATCAATCAATAAAAAAATAATAATACATTGTAAAAAGTCATGAACATCACCAAATTAGGTACCCAAAATTAAAACCTTTCTCCTTCCCCACCCTTAGCCCCAACACACATCCAAAAGATGTGTTTTGAAAGAGAAATGGAGTAGGTCAAAGTACTTTTCTTGAAACTTTAGGTCCTTTTCCTTTTTTATTTTTTAACTTACTAATTTTAGAGAGAGAGGAAAGGAGAGGGAGGGAGAGAGATACATCAGTTTGTTGTTCCACTTATTTATGCATTTACTGGTTCAGTTTTTTATGTGCCCTGACTGGGGATTGAACCTGCAACCTTGGCACATCAGGACCACATTCTAAGCAACTGAGCTACCTGGCCAGGGCTGGGGTCCTTTTCCTTAACGTATAGATTAGGGCCTGTGAATACTCCAGAATACTTGCAAAGTTATATATATCCATTCTTTCTAGGGAAAGAACACATAGCTTTCATAAGATTCTCAAAAATATCTGTCAATTAAAACAGGTTAAGAACCATTGTTGTCATAGATTCATTACCTCTTTTTTTTTTGAGAATTTTATTTATTTGTTTGTTTTTATAGAGAGGGGAAAGGAGGGAGAAAGAGAGGGAGAGAAACATCAATGTGTGGTTGCCTCTCACACACCCATTACTGGGGACCTGGTGCACAACCCAGACACATGCACTGACTGGGAATTGAATCAGCAACCCTTTGCTTCACAGTCCAATGCTCAATCCACTGAGCCATACCAGGCAGGGTTCATAACAGTTTTTTCTTTCTTTTTTTTTTAATTTATTTTTTTATTGATTATGCTGTTACAGTTGTTCTATTCCCCCCTTCATTCCCCTCCACCCTAACCCCCGTCCCCACCATTACCCCCCCTTTAGTTTATGACCATGTGTCTCAAGTTCTTTAGATTCTGTATTTCCCATACTATTCTTGCCCCCCCATCTATTTTCTATCTACTGTCTATGCTACTTATTTTCTGTACCTTCTCCCCTCATCTCCTCCTCCCACTCCCCTGTAGCTAACCCTCCTTGAGATCTTCATTTCTATGTTTCCACTCCGGATCTAGCTGTCCTTTTAGTTTGCTTTTGTTTTATGTGTGGTAGTTAATAACTATGATTTTGTTGTCCTTTCACTGTTCATGTTTTTTAAACTTCTTTTTCTTAGATAAGTCCCTTTAACATTTCATATAATAAGGGCTTGGTGATGATGAACTCCTTGAATTTGATCTTATCTGAGAAGCACTTTATCTGTCCTTCCATTCTATATGAAAGTTTTGCTGGATAGAGCAATCATGGTTGTAGGTCTTTGGATTTCATGACTTGGAATACCTCTTTCCAGCCCCTTCTTGCCTGTAAGGTGTCTTTTGAGAAATCTGCTGACAGTCTGATGGGAACTCCTTTGTAGGTGACTGTCCCCTTAGTTAGCTCTTGCTGCTTCTAGGAGTCTCTCCTTCATTTTAATCTTGGCTAATGTAATGATGATGTGGCTTGGTGTGTTTCTTCTTGGGTCCAACTTCTTTGGGACTCTCTGAGCTTCCTGGATTTCCTGGAAGTCTATTTCCTTTGCCAGATTGGGGAAGTTCTCCTTTATTATTTGTTCAAATAAGTTTTCCACTGGTGGCTGTTCCTTTCCCCCTTCTGGTACCCCTATAATTTGGATGTTGGAGTGTTTAAAGATGTCCTGGAGGTTCCTAAGGCTCTCCTCATTTCTTTGAATTCTTGCTTCTTCACTCTTTTCTGTTTGGCCATTATTTGCTTTCTTCTGGTCCACTCCATTGATTTGAGACCCAGTTTCCTTTTCATTGCTATTGGTTTCCTGTGCAATTCCATTCATTTCAATTAGTTTTGCCTTCATATGTTTGTCTAATTTGTGGCTATAATCAACCAGTTCTGTGAGGATCCTGATCACCAGTGTTTTAAACTGTGCGTCTGAGAGTTTTGCTATTTCTTCATCGCTTAGATTTATAGGCTCTGGGGCTTTGAGATCTTCTTGAGCCATTTTTGGTCTTTTTGCGCATGATAAGTCTGAGGAGCGGAGCCTTGGACTCCCAGGTCGCTTGGTTGTGACTCTGTATGTGGAGGCAGGGTCAGAGCGGGGAAATGGCGGCCCCCTCTGCTGTTTCTTACAGCTGGGTGAAGAGTAGAGCCTTAGGTTGTTCACCAGGGCAAGGCCACTTAGGTCGCTGGATTATGACGCTGTATGTGAAGGCGGGGTTGGAGCAGGGAAATGGCGGCGCCCTCCGCCTCTGCTTGCAGCTGGGGTTGCTGGCTCTCGTCCAATCGCCCACTCCCTCGCTTCTCTATCCACACACGAATGCACGACCACAGTCAACCTGCAGCCCTGCTCTCTCACTGTTTCTCTGCGATTGCTTGCTGAGTTTCCCACCAGGTCCAACCCTGCGCCTGAATTCCGTGCGCTTGAGTCCGTCTGACCGAGTTTTCCTGTGCTACCCCGCTCTGCCAGCTGCTGGTCTCGCCCCTCTTACCGGTCAGGCTGAAGAATTTGTTGTTATCAGACTTCCGGAAAGTTCAATTTTCTGTGTTCTGGCTGTGTTTTCTATTGCTATTATTTAGTTGTCTCTAAACTTGGTTGTGAGGAAGCACAGCGTCTCCAGCTATGCCTCCATCTTGGCAGAAGTCCATAATACTTTTTTCTTAAATTGCTATTTCATTGCCTCATTCAGAAAAATTATATAGAAGAGAGAGACCTGCTTATCTCCATGCCATAGCTAAGAAATGTGATTTCTAAGTATAGTACTTAATTATGGTAAATATAATTAAAAAATTGACATATAAGAACTAAGGATTTACAAACAACAACCCCCAAAGACACCAACAAAAGGAAGAACTAAGTATACCTCCCTAAATTCCTAATCCTAAACTGTCACTTGTTCTGGGTCTTGAATGTCTTAGGTGTAGGTAAGTGTTATAAGCTTTAAAAATAGCTAAGAACGAATCTGGAGTGCATACAGTCACCTTTGTAAGAGATGATTCCATCACAGATCTCTTTGAAGATCTGGGCTAGGCGGGCTGCTCGAGCCACTTCAATGTTTTCCTCTGCAGCTGCCAACCGTCTTGTTCGAACAGATCGGGCTGTCTGCAGGGCAGAGAACTGGGTCATGAAGACATCTGAAAGGATAAAGTGAAAATCAGCTTTAGGAAAACAGGAACCATTTGTGGCTTTCTCTTACTTGATGAATTCCTGCTTTTCACTCATTCTTCTGTGAAGTGATTAGTAGATTAGTGGTCATGGAGTTCTTTCTCCTCTACAGAAAAATCAGGAAACACTGAAGTTTACCACAGAGACAAATGCTGCAAGTCAGAGGAACCTTATTTTAGTGGCCAAAGGCTAGTTAAGTTTGGGCTTCAAAATAAGTCTGTTTGTATTCTGGCTTCACTACTCACTAGCTGTGTGATCTTGGGTAGGTTACTTAAACTCACTCTGTGTCTCAGTTTCTTAACTGTAAAATGAGAACAGTGGTAGTACTTCCCTCATAAGGTAACCATGAAGATTAAATGAGATAATCTTTTTAATGTGTTTAGCTCAGAGCCTGACATATAGTAAAGATTTAGAAAATAATTATTGATATTACCAGAAAATTTGAACTCCCTGAATTATAAATTTAGAGAATTTATGCCAATCAAATCACTGAGAGGATAGAGGATTTTGGGCAAATTTCTTAATCTATCTACTTCCCACTCAGCATATTCTCTCACGCAAAGTGCAGATTGCTTGTACTGTTTTAGGTAAAGAAAATAAGAGCATAAACTTTTGAACACTTTATTTTCAGTTAAGAGTATTTGAACATGCCCGTTTTTCTGCTTTCAATCTGCTCTGGATAACAAATCTACATCAGAAGTGCTGTTACATTACCTACTTATGAAAGTTAGAAAAAGAAAAATCTGAAGGTCTATGTATATAATGCTAATCTAAATGTGGGAGGCAAAAAGTCTTCAAATTAATACTAATGTCATTTTCCTCTGTATTTGTTATCACTACTTACCCTGTCTGCAAGGTATTTTCCAGGTAAGAAAGGAGACAAAAGACTCACTACTTTTATTATGTCTAGTGACTTTCAGGCTGTAAGTTACATTTGAGAGGCTGGTGGAAGGAGCTTTCTTCCTACCCCCCAGAGCAGGAACAAGGAATTTGAAGAGTTTGGAGAGAGAGGTGATTGTTGATTGGTGTTTCTATGCTTTTATCTTAAACTTTTTTAGAGCAAACTAAAAGGAATCTTTGAAAGTAACTAAAATAATCCCTTTTGAGATAATCTTTTAGAATTAGTAGGAATGTTTCCCAGTTCTTACCAGACTTGATGTTCCCATCATCTCGGCAGATACCATTCCAGCGGGTATATAACGATGCTGAGTGAATATTATCACCAGTGTGCTTTACTTCCTCCTGCTTCTGCCAAATCTTCTCCCAGTTTCGAACCAAGAACACATGATGCTTTAATACAAAGTTCCTACAAGGAAGGGAGGAAGGAAGGAGTTCCCTTGTTCATTAATTCAATAAGCACTTATTACCTGTCCATTCTATGTAAGCCATTGTCAAGATGTTGTAAGTGAATACTTATCACCCTGGCTGGTGTGGCTCAGTTGGCTGGCCATTGTTCCACAAAGCAAAAGGTCACCAGTATGATTCCCCATCAGGGCACATGCCTGGGTTGCAAGTTTAGTTTCTGGTTGTGGTGCTTACATGTATGAGACCACTGACTGTTATTTCCCTGTCTTCCTCCCTCCCTCCCTGTCTCTAAAAATAAAAAAATAAAATCTTTTTTAAAAAAAAGGATACTGGCCCTGGCTGGCATAGCTCAGTGGATTGAGCGCGGGCCTGCGAACCACACGATCGCGGTTTGATTCCCAGTCAGGGCACACGCCTGGGTTGCAGGCCGGTTCCCTGCAGGTCAGTTCCCAGCAGGGAATGCATGAAAGGCAACCATACATTGATGTTTCTCTCCTCTCCTTCCCTTCTTCTCTCAAAGATAAATAAATAAAATCTTAAAAAAAAAAAAAAAAAGATACTGGTCAATGAATTCAGCCTTTATAAAGGGAATTATGTACGGGGAAACAGTATTCAGTTTTGCAGCTTGCTTTTTTTTTCATATAACATGAAACATTTCCCTATATATTTTCTAATATCTGGCAAATATTAACTTAAAAGCTACAAAAAGTTTGGCAACTGAAGCAACCTAACTTGAAGGCAGAACTTCATGGAGTATATGTACAAATTCAAGAGAAAGTTGCCCAGAAGAAGAAATGGCTCAGGATTAGCTAAGACAAGGAGAACTGAACTGACAGATGAAGGCAAAGATATTTAAGATATCCACTGGGTAAAAAACTATGTTAGGTACAGTGCCTGTACATGGGTCTATAAACTTAATTACATATGTCTTTTTAAAATTTTGTCACCTGATGGTATGTTTATTAATTGAGGGAGAGAGAAGGGGGGGGAGAGAGAAAGAGAAATGATGTGAGAGAGAAACTGATCTCTTGCTTCCCATATGCACCTCAATCAGGGATAAAACCTGTAACCTAGGTATGTATCCTAACGGGATTAAACCCAAAACCTTTTCGTGTATCAGATAACACTCCAACCAACTAAGCCACTCAGCCAGAAAAGTTACACAATTCTGATTCTGTAATTTAATTTTCACCCTAGCACACATACAAAGATGTGACTTTGAATAAATCTCAAACTATCATCTTCAGTGAATGGAGATTAGATTAATTTTATAGTTCCTGACTTTGACTGCACATTGAAATCACTTGGGGAGCTTTATAAAACTATTGATGCCTGGGTTCCACCTCTGAAAATTCTGCGTTAAGTGGTCCTGGCTGTCGCCTGGGCATCCGAAGTTTTTTAAAAGCTTCATAGGCTGTTATGCAGCTAAAGTAGAAAACCACTAGATTAGCTCATTCTATTTTCCCGAAGTTTAAAATTTCTGTTACAAGTGAAATACAATAAAAGGAGCTAAAATTATAAAGATATAAATAAGGATAAACTTTCTAAGAGATCAGAATGTATGGTCAGGGAAATATAGAATATCTTGAAAAAAATAGAGGACATATTTACTTTGCTTACCTTTTATATGAGTCTTAGTACAAGGAAGAGAAAAAAATAAGCACTAAAAATCCTATTTACTGCTCTATTAATATATCAAAGCAGGGATCCTTAACCTTTTCGGTGCCATGGATTCCTCTGGCAGACTCATGAAGCCCAAGTAACACTTCTCTGAACAATGTTTTAAAAGTATTTTAGATTAAATTTAGACTTCCAGCCAGCATGGAAGGGTAGGTAAACATGGCTTGCCTCTGTGCACAACCACATCAAAATTACAACTAAATTGTAGAATAACCATCATTCAGAATTGTCAGCAATTGAGTTGAAAGGAAGTCCTACAACTACAGAATTCAGGAAGTAACCACATTGAGACTGGTAGGAGGGGCGGAGATGTGGAACAGGATGATGCCACACCAATCAGTGGTGGATAAAAATCGGGAGGTATATCTCAGGATCCATGGGTCCCAGCCTCACACCAGGACCCCAGCTCAGGGTTCCAGTGCCAGAAAAGATAAGTCTCCATAATTTCTGGCTGTAAAAACTAGTGGGGATTGAGGCAGTGGGAGACAGAAACTTCTAGAGTCCCAGGCAGGTATGCTTAAATAGCTCATGCGCAGACTTCCTTAGACTCACTTCCTCTAAGCTCTAGCACCAGGACAGGAGATTGAAAGGCATCAGAGACATATGGAGAGGAACTGAATTATCTGGCATCAGGTAGACAGCTGAAGGGCAGCATCTTCTGAGACAAGACTGCTGGCAGAAGCCATTGTTCCTCTGCTGAGCCCTCCCCAACACAACCAGCAGTTCGGTGCCATATCTGAAGACTCCATGCACCAAGATCATATTGCATGCCCCACATGTTGGTGATTCCCTCAGGTACTGCCCCACCCACCTTTCAGGACCACCCAAGCTGTTTTCAGTGGATTTTCCATATGAATGGCTTGTCTTAGCCCAGCTTCAGACTTTCCTAAATTCTCTCCAACAAGCAGCGCTTGGCTTCGGCGAGCCCTCCACCTCTCGTTAGGTTGCCCTAGCCTGGCACTAGCAGCACATGGTCTTGATACACAGCTGGGCCTCTTCTGCGAACCTCAAAGACCAGCAAATTAGCAGCCATTTCACTTTGTAGCTGATGTTGTGTAACAATAGACAGAACACAGGCAGTAGCTGACCTTGGATGTGCCAACAGCAATCAGGGCTAAACTACAGCAAGAGGGTATAACAGAGCCCACACAGAGGACACACCATGAGTACCGAGCTTGGGTAAGAGGGGAGGCTGTCCCATTGAATCATATAGGACACCTACTACATTAGGGCATTCTATCAAGTCTGGGAGATGTAGCAACTCTCCCTAATACATAGAAACAAACACAAGGCAGCTGCCAAAATGAGGAAAAAAAGAAACATGGCTCAAATGAAAGAACTAAACAAACTACAAAAAAGAAAAAGAGAACTAAACAAAATGGAGACTGGCAATCTACTTGACACAGAGTTCAAAACACTGGTCATGAGGATACTCAAGGAACTTAGGATTTCAACAGTATGAAAAAATACAATCCAGTTAGAAATGAAGAACACATTGATCGAAACAAAGAGTATTTTGCAGGGAATCAACAGTAGCATGGATAAAGACGAGGATGAAATCAGTGATTAGTAACATACAGAAGTCAAAAACAACCAATAAGAACAGCAAGAAGAAAAAAGAATTTAAAAATGAAGATAGGGGTGACTTCTGCCAAGATGGAGGCGTAGGTGGAAACACCTTGCGTCCTTGCACAACCAAATCTAAAAACAAGAAAGTCTTAACAACAATAAACGCAACCAAACCACACAGAAAATCGACAATACAAAGTCCGAAAACAACGAAATGCTCAGCGAAACCAGTAACAGGGCCGAAGCCACCAGTGGAGCGGGTTGGCCAAAAAGATCCCCAAATAGGGTGGTACTCAGGCAGCCAAAGGCGCAGATCCCAGGTGCAAGCTAGCTACGGTGGACACAGTAAAGAGGTGCGGCTGGCTGTCTGCAGTCAGTCGAGCATTTGCGTGCAGATAAACCAGTGAGGAGGTGAGCATTCAGACCTCGTGGCGCAGGGCGGCAGGCTTGCACATTTCCCTTCAGATAAACAGGCTGGGCGAGTGGTGGGACAGACTGGGTGAGCTGAGAGGACTGCCATTGCTCCCTCTCTGACCCCGCGCCCACATACAGGGTCAGGAACCAGCAATCTGGGTGGCCCCGCCCTGGTGAATATCTGAGGCGCCTCTCCTCATATGTAACAGGCACAAACACATAAAAACATGGCACAAGAACAACTCAGAGCCCCAGGGCGAATAAATCTAAGTGATGAAGAAATAGCTAAACATTCAGATGCACAGTTCAAAACACTGGTGATAAGGATCTTCACAGAACTGGTTGATTTTAGTCACAAATTAGAGGAACATAGGAAGGCTAAACTAATTGAAATGAATGGTAATGCACAGGAAACAAATAGTAATGGAAAGGAAACTGGGACTCAAATCAAGGGAGTGGACCAGAAGGAAGGAAAAAAATGAACAAACAGAAAAGAATGAAGAAACAAGAATTTAAAAAAATGAGGAGAGGCTTAGGAACCTCCAGGACATCTTTAAACATTCCAACATTCGAATTATAGGACTACCAGAAAGGGAAAAGGAACAGCCACAAGTGGAAAACTTATTTGAACAAATAATAAAGGAGAACTTCCCCAATCTGGCAAAGGAAATAGACTTCCAGAAAATCCAGGAAGCTTAGAGAGTCCCCAAGAAGCTGGACCCAAGAAGGAACACACCAAGACACATCATAATTACATTAGCCAAGATTAAAAGGAAGGAGAGAATCCTAGAAGCAGCAAGAGATAAGGGGACAGTCACCTACAAAGGAGTTGCCATCAGACTGTCAGCTGATTTCTCAAAAGACACCTTACAGGCAAGAAGGGGCTGGAAAGAGGTATTCCAAGTCATGAAAACCAAAGACCTACAACCAAGATTGCTCTACCCAGCAAATTTTCATTTAGAATGGAAGGACAGATAAAGTGCTTCTCAGATAAGACAAAATTCAAGGAGTTCATCACCACCAAGCCCTTATTATATGAAATGTTAAAGGGACTTACCTAAGAAAAAGAAGTTAAAGAAACATGAACAGTGAAAGGACAGCAAACTCACAGTTAGTAACAACCACACCTAAAACAAAAGCAAACTAAGAGGACAGCTAGATCAGGAGCAGAACCATAGAAATGAAGATCATATGGAGGGTTAGCAACAGGGGAGTGGGAGGAGGAGAAGGGGGGAGAAGGTACAGAAAATAAGTAGCACAGACAGTAGGTAGAAAATAGATAGGGGGAAGGACAAGAATAGTATGGGAAATACAGAATCTAAAGAACTTAAGACACGTGTTCATGAACTAAAGGCGGGATGGTGGGGGAGGTGTATGCAGGGTGGAGGGGAATGAAGGGGGGGAAATAGAAGAAATGTAATGGCATAATCAATAAAATAAAATAATATATTATTAAGAAAAAGAAAAACCTGTGGGAATTGAGGTGGTAGGAGAAAGTACCAGGGTCCTACAACATACAGAAAACCACCTGGTAATCAGCACCAGAAGGGGCCAAATGGCTTATGGGTAGTGACAGAAGTGACTAAAAGCCAACAGAGAGCTGACCAAGTAGCACTGTTTCCTCTTGTACCCCTCCCCCACAGACAGCACCACAATTCAGCGACATGAGTTATCCCACCCTGGTGAATACCCAAGGCTCTGGCCCTTACTATGTAACAGGCCTGCAGAAACAAACAAACAAACATGGCCAAAATAAAAGAACAAATCGAAGCTAAAAAAAAAAAAAAGAACTAAGCCAACATATTAGATGCACAGTTGAAAACACTGGTAATGAGGATGCTCACAAAACTGGTTGATTATGGTCGCAAAATAGAGGAAAAAGTAAGGGATATGAAAAGTGAAATAAAAATATAGAGAGAACTGATGGTGAAGGGAAGGAAACTGGGACTCAAATCACGAGTGTGGACCAGAAAGAAGAAATAAACATTCAATTAGAACAGAATCAATAAACACGAATTCAAAAAATGCCATCTGGTGTGGATCAGTGGTTTGAGTGCTGGCTTGTGAACCAAAGGGTTGCTGGTTCGATTCCTGGTCAGGGCACATGCCTGCATTGCAAATCAAGTCCCCAGTAGGAGGGGGCACGTGAGAAGCAACCACACAATGAAGTTTCTCTCTGTCTCTATCTCCCTCTCTTCCCCTCTCTAAAAATAAATAAATAAATCTTAAAAAGAAACAAAAACAAAAACAAAAACCAGAATTCAAAAAAATGAGGAGAGACTTAGGAACCTCTGGGAAAACTTTAAACATTCCAACATTCGAATCATAGTGGTGCCAGAAGGAGGAGGAACAGAAAAAAATTGAAAAGTTATTTGAACAAATAATGAAGAACTTCTCCAATCTGGAAAGGAAATAGATTTCCAGGAAGTCCAGAAAGCTCAGTGAGTGCCAAAGAATTTGGACCCAAGGAAGCACACACCAAGACACATAATTACATTATGTGCCATAATTACATTAGCCAAGATTAAAGAGAAGGAGAGAATCTCAAAAGCAGCAAGAGAAAAGGATACAGTTACCTACAAAGGAGACTTACCTAAGGAAAAGAAGATCAAAATCTATGAACAGTAAAATGACAACAAATTCACAACTATCAACAAGCGAACCTAAAAAAAAAACAAAAATGAAAATAAACTAAGCACACAACTAGAACAGGAACAGAATCACAGAAATGGTGGGTTACCAGCTGGGGAAGAGGAGGAGGAGAACTGGGGAAAAGGTACAGGGAATAAGTAGCATAAATAGTAGGTAGAAAATAGACAGGGGGAGGTTAAGAATAGTAGAAAATGTAGAAGCCAAAGAACTTACATGTACGACCCATGGACATGAACTAAAAGGGGGGGTACGCAAGTGGGAGGGAAATAAAGGGAGGAAATGGGACAGCTGTAATAGCATAATCAATAAAATGTTTTAAAAAGTACTTAAAATTAATTAAAATCTTAAGTAATTTTAATACATAGGATTAAAATAAAACTATGTTAAAATCGTTTCCAGAATATTTGTTTTTCCTTTTTAAAGACTTTATTTATTTATTTATTTATTTATTCTTTTAGAGAGTGGAAGGGAGGAAGAGAGGGAAACAAACATCAATGTATGGTTGCCTCTAGTGTGCCCCACACTGGGAACCTGGCCTGCAACCCTGGCATGTGCCCTAGACTGGGAATTGAACAAGCAACCCTTTGCTTTGCAGGCCAGTAACCAATCCACTGAGCCACACCAGCCAGGGCATAGTCTTCACAATATTTAAATTAACTTTTTAATCCATAAATTTTTATCCCTGACAAAATCTAGTTGTGGGTTTAATAAACATAGTGATCTTGAAGTAGAGATGAATGTGTAATATTTTGGTATATTTGTAACACATGTAACATAAATTGAAAATGTGAATATTGGTGACAAAATATATGGAAACTGAAAATGCTACACACACACGTTATTTTATTTTATTTTTGCCCATAGTCATATTTAAAGGAAATGGTAAATTTCATTCAGAAATAAGGGAAAATAAAGATACAATTTTCCCCACTCCTAAGTCACAGATACCTCGAATCTTTGTTTAAAGACCTATCCACAAAAGAAATGGCTCAATTATATAGATGTTTAATAAACTGATAAGCAAATAATGCAATATAAAGAGCACAGGTAAAAAAATCTCCTTTACCTCTCTCGATTGGACATGGGCTTCATTTGCAACTGAGGGGCCAATCTTGTTGGAGTGTTGATGTTTTCACTGGGTTCCTCAGAGAGGTGGCCTCTCTGAAAAAGAGATGTATCAGAATACAGTAAAAAAAAAAAAAAAAAAAATCAGAAATCACTTTAAAGAATATTAAAACCACTCTGAAGATTCCACCCTTTGGTAGTTCCTTTATATCAGTAACTGCCTCTGAGGAGCTATTTGAGGAAAGCCATGAGATCATTATTCACCCTTTTTTTCAGCTTGTGCTTAGACTTCCTCTTTTCTTTTGACCGTCCAGACTTTTTATGTGTGGCCATAGGCTGGCTGCTTTTGCTGCTGGTGAGTCCATTCATACGCTGACTCTTGCCTCCGATGATTCCTCGACATTTCTCAAAGCCACACTTACACAGTTGCTTTGAAAAGAAAGAGAATGATGCTTTTAGCCTGCTGACTCATTTACAAGTAGGACTGCCAGAATATTTGGACACCCAACAATAAGATTCATCAAAAATTTCCATTTGAGAAAAACAATTAATTGAGAATAAAATAAATAAAAATAAGTTTCCGCTGTAGTTGAAAGGAAAGATTAAACACTGGAAAAACTTCACAAGAATTGTTAAGAACTGACTGGAGACCAAAAATGATTGAGTAATCTCTTTCTACAGAATTCTGAAAGAATTAAAGAGAGCTATATATCCTAGATAAGTGGAGTTAAGAGTAAAAAACTTTACTGGACTTCTCAATGGCTACAAATCATTTTATCGAAGGCCTATGTTATACAAAGCACTGTGACCAAGTTCAATCTCCCTCTTGGAGTTCTTATTCTTACCTGTTTTTCAACATTAAAGGAATGAAAGTTGTAATCATAAGTGAGTTCAGTACCAGCTGGCATATCTTTAAGAGCATATAATCCAATCCGGTATACTCCATTAACAGACCTATAGAGAATTGGAGAGTTAAAAGTAGAGATTCTTAACACCATGCCTGAAAACCCACACACACAAAAAAGGTACACTGATTTCAGATTTACCTTTGTTTCTATATCCAATTTCTCAAGTTTCCGGGACAAGCTCTACAACTTTAATCTATCTTCTATTCTATTCAGACGATATAATACTGCCAGGCTAATAGTCCTAAGTCAATTTTATGGAAAACATGGTCTATGTTGTAAATTACAATTGGTCTTAAATTTTCCTGCTTGGTAATCAAGGTCCTTTTAAAACATGGCTTTAGTCTATTTGTCCATGTTTAATTTGCTGCACCTCAACAAATTAAAATGATATCCTACTATGGCTTACCTAAAAAAAAAGTTCCTACTGCTCTCCATTTTTCTTACCTGTACACGAGTGTCTCTTTTGTTCTATTTTACACTGCTATTACTGACCTATCATGTATTTTATATAATAAGTATAACTAATACTTAACTGCTTATTATATTAATAACAGCATTTTGTTTTATTAACTTATTTAATACTCCTGACAACTAAAAAAAATGATACTATTATTAGATAGTATTATAACCCCCATTTTCTAAATGAGGAAGCTGAGGCACAGGATAAGCAACTTGCCCAAAGTCAACACAGCTGTTAGTTATGGGAATCAAGTTTCAAAACAAGGTAGTCTGGTTGAAAGCTTAATAACAACGCCACACTGATAACAAATTATCTCAGTAATTCTCAGAACAACTTCAGATGTTCTCAAATACTTCAGATGTAAAAAATGTAAAGACTGCCCTGACTGGTGTAGCTCAGTGGACTGAACGCAGGCTTGTGAATCAAAGGATAGCGGTTTGATTCCCAGTCGGGGCACATGCCTGGGTTGCAGGCCAGTCCCTGCAGGGGACGCAGGAGAGGCAACCATACATTGATATTTCTCCCCTTCTCTCCTTCCCTTCCCCTCTAAAGACAAATAAATAAAATCTTAAAAAAAAGAAAGTAAAAACTATTGTGAAGTCCAATTGGACCTTGGAATGTATTTTCATTGTACAATTCTTTCACCTCATTGGTTAATTTTCAGGTATTTCATTCTTTTTGATGCCAACATAAATGGAACAGTTTTCATAATTTCTTTTTCAGATTGGTTGGGAACAGAAATGTAACTGATTTTTGTGCACTGACTCTGTGTCCTGATAACTTTGTTCAATTTACTTATGAGATCTATCAGCTTCTTTCCATAATCTTTAGCATTTTCTCCATTTAATCTCCTATTGTATGTAATCAGAGATACTTTTACTTCTTCCTTTCTAAATTAAATACCTTTTGTATGTTTTCCTCGTCTTACTGTTCTGGCTACACCTTCCAAAACAGTGGTGAAAGTGGGCTTCCTTGTCTTGTTACTACTATCTTATAAGGAAAGCTTATATCATCCAGTTTATGTTTGCTGTGGGTTTTCTTGTTTTTAAAAATATATATATATGCACTGGCTAGCATAGCTCAATGGATTGAGCGTGGGCCTGCGAACCCAAGGACCGTGGTTAGATTCCCAGTCAGGGCACATGCCTGGGTTGCAGGCCAGTTCCCAGCAGGGGACGCGCAAGAGGCAACCATACATTGATATTTCTCTCCCCCTGTCCTCCCCATCCTTTCCAAAGATAAATAAAACAGTAAAATCTTAAAATAAATAAATAAATAAATAAATAAATGTAGTTCCTTCTACTCCTATTTTGTTGAGTGTTTTTTCAAAAGATTTTATTTCTACTTTAAAAAATTATTTTATTGTTGTTCAGGACTTCCAGCCAAGATGGAGGCATAGGTGGAAACACTGTACCTCCTCACACAACCAAGTTTAAAGACAACAAAGTTTTAGCAACAAAAATGCGGCCAAAACAGACAAAAAATTGAACTATATGGAAGTCTATCAACGAACCGTTCATCCAGACCAGTATGAGGGGCGGAGTCAGCAGCAGACTGGGGTCGGGGGAGGGGGGCAAAAAAGATCGCTGGAGGGACCCAGGAGCTCAAGGGAGCTCTGGAGCTCAGGAGCTCTGGAGCTCAGGAGTGCAGGCGGCAGTTGGTGGATCCCAGGCGTGGGGTGGCAATGGGCGGACCCAATGAGGGCACAAGGCTGACCATGGTCACACACTAGCGGCGCAGATAAACAAAGGGAAGAAGCAGGCAGTGAGACAGGCCGCTCAGGCCAGGGTCCCAGTGATGGGAATTAGAGCCTGAAAGGACCAACTGGAAGGACTTTCAGGGTTGAGGTACCAGGAGAAGCTCCCTGGCTCACAGAGTTCACTGGAGAGACCCACAGGGTCCTGGAGGGTGCACAGGCCCACACACCCAGGAGCCGGGACCAGAAGGGCCCAATCTGCTTGTGGGAAGCAGCAGAGGGGACAGAAATCTGAGAGAGAGCAGAACAAACGCCACTGCCCCTCTCTGACCCCACCCCTACATACAGCATCACAACTCAGCAACCTGGGTTGCCCCACTGTGGTGAACACCTAAGGCTCTGCCCCTCATATGTAACAGGTGTGAAGAGACCAAAACATTATGGCTCAAGAACAGCTCAAAGCCCCAGAGCCAATACTTCTAAGCGACCAAGAGATAGCTAACCTTTCAGATGCACAGTTCAAAACACTGGTGATCAGGATGCTCACAGAACTGGTTGATTTTAGTCACAAATTAGAGGAACGAATGAAGGCTACACTAAGTGAAATGAAGCAAAATGCACAGGGAACCAACAGTGATGGGAAGGAGACTGGGACTAAAATCAATCAAGTGGACCAGAAGGAAGAAAAAAATGACCAAACAGAAAACAATGAAGAAAGAAGAATTCAAAAAAATGAGGAGACGCTTAGGAACCTCCAGGACATCTTTAAACGTTACAACATCCAAATTACAGGGGTACCAGAAGGGGAAGAGGAACAGCTTATTAGAGTAGAAAACTTATTAGAAGAATTAATAAAGAAGAACTTCCCCAATCTGGCAAAGGAAATAGACTTCCAGGAAATTCAGGAAGCACAGAGAGTTCCAAAGAAGTTGGACCCAAGAAGGAATACACCAAGCCACATCATAAATACATTAGCCAAGATTAAAATGAAGGAGAGAATCCTAGAAGAAACAAGAGGTAAGGGGACAGTCACCTGCAAAGGAGTTCCCAGCAGACTGTCAGCAGATTTCTCAAAAGACACCTTACAGGCAAGAAGGGGCTGGAAAGAAGTATTCCAAGTCATGAAATCCAAAGACCTACATCCAAGATTGCTCTATCCAGCAAAGCTCTCATTTAGAATGGAAGGGCAGATAAAGTGCTTCCCAGAGAAGGTCAAATTCAAGGAGTTCATCATCACCAAGCCCTTATTATATGAAATGTTAAAGGGACCTATCTAAGAAAAAGAAGATAAAAAATATGAACAGTGAAAGGACAGCAAACTCAGTTATTAACAACCACACCTAATACAAGAGCAGACTAAGAAGACAGCTAGATCAGGAGTGAAGTATAGAAATGAAGATCACATGCAGGGTTAGCAACAGGGAAGTGGGAGGAGAGGAAGGGGGGAGAAGGTACAGAGAATAAGTAGCATAGACGGTAGGTAGAAAGTAGACAGGGGGAGGGCAAGAATAGTAGGGGAAATACAGAATCTAAAGAACTTGTGACACATGGACATAAACAAAATGGGGAAACGGTAGGGGAGGAGTGTGCAGAGTGGAAGGAAATGAAGGGGGGGAACAGGAGAACTGTAATGGCATAATCAATAAAAAATATATTTTTAAAATTTATTTATCTTTACAGGGGAAGGGAAGGAGAGAGGGAGAGAAATATCAGTGTATGGTTGCCTCTTCTGTATCCTCTGCTGGTAATTGTCCTGAAACCCAGGCATGTGCCCAGACTGGGAATCTAACCAGCAATCCTTTGGTTCATAGGCTGGCATTCAATCTGCTGAGCGATACCAGTCTGGTCTGTTGAGTGTTTTTTTATCATGGAAAGGGTTCTTGTATATTCTGGACATTAACCCCTTACCAAATATGTGATTTGAAAACATTTTCTCGTAGTCTGTAGGTTGCCTACTCTGTAAAGCCTGTTTGATGTACAGTCCCACTTGCTAGTTTTTGCTTTTGTTGTCTTTGCTTCTGGTGTGAATCCCAAAATCAATGCCTGCATCGAAGTCAAAGAGTTTATACCTTGTTTTCTTCTAAAGGTTTTATGGTTTCAGCTATAATGTTCAAATCTTTAATCTATTTTGAGTACGTTGAAAGATAGTGGTCATGTTGTTTTCTTTTGCTTGTGTAATTTTCCCATTTTTGAAGAGACTCTCCTTTCCCAAGTGTATATGCTTGGTTTTTTGGTCATTAATTAACCACACATGTGTGGGTTCATTTCTGGACTCTATTATGCTACATTCATCTATGTGTTTGTTTTTATGCCAATATTATATTGCTTTAATTATGCAAGCTTTCTAACATAGTTTGAAATCAGGAAGTGTGATGCTTCTAGCTTTGTTTTTCTTTCTTAAGACTGCCTTGGAAAATTTGGGGTCATATGTGGTTCCATACAGATTTGAAAACTGTTTGTTCTATTTCTGTGAAAATTGTCATTGAAATTTTGATTTTTATTGCATTACATATGTAGATTGCTTTGATTAGTGTGTACAATTTACCAATACTAATTCTTCCAACCCATGAGCACAGAATATGTTTTCACTTATTGTGGCTTCTTATAAATTCTTACATTAATGTTATGTAGAAACACCTGTATATTACACCTTGGTTAAATTTATTCCTAGGCATGTTATTATTCTTGATGCAATTGCAAACAGAATTTTTTCGCAATTTTTCTGACAGTTCATTTTTGGTGTACAGAAATACAAATGATTTTTGTATTTTGATTTTGCATCCTATAACTTCACTGATTTAGTTTATTCGTTTTCTGTTTTTTTGGTGGTCTTTAGGGTTTTTTCTATACAATATCCTGTCATCCAGAGATAGGGCCAATTTTATAACCCAAATGGTAATTAAACCCATAACCCAAATGGTATTAAACCCATAACCCAAAATTTTAACACTAATTTTAACTTATAAAAACTGTGTCCCTTTACAGCTCTTTCTTTCCCTTTTTTGGATGTTTATGTTATAAGTTACAACTTTATATACTGTGTGCACAAAAATATAAACTAATAATTCTTTTAAGTACATTAGTCTCCTAAATTATGTAGAAAACAAGATTTGTAGTTATAAACTAAAGTTACTATAATGCAAGTTTTTCATTAATTATTTCTTTTCTGTTAAGTCTCTTAAATCCCATATAAATAAAAAATACAGCTACAAATCATTTGCCTATGTATTTATCTTTATTAAGATCATTATTTCTCCACTTTGTTTGATACTACTACCAATTCTCCTTTCATCATTTCACCTTGCAGGACTCCCTTGAGTATTTCTTGCAGGACATGTCTAGTGGTCATGAACTCCATCAGCTTTCGTTTATCTGGGACTATCCTGATTTCTTCCTCTCTCTCTTTTTAAAATTGAATTTATTGGAGTGATTCAGTTAAAAACTTATACAGGTTTCAGATGTAGAATTCTATAATACCTCATTTGTGTATTTTACTGTATTTTCACCACCCCAAGTTAAGTCCTTCCTATTTTTTTTATAAAGGTTTATTTATTGTTAGAGGTACAGGCATGAAAAAGAGAGGGACAGAAACATCAATGTGAGAACATCAGTCAGTTGCCTCTCCTATGCCCCAAAAAGCATTGAACTCAGAACCCAGACATGTGTCCTCACTGGGAATTAAAGCAGTGACCTATCACTTTGTGGGACAATGCCCAACCAGTGGAGCTGTATCAACAAGGGCTTTCCTCTCTTTTGCAGAGTTCTGTCAGATAATAGGAATCCTGGTTGATAGTGATTTTCTTTTAGCAATTTCAATACAATAAATCACTGTTCTTAGGCTCTGAAGTTTCTCATAAGCAATATGCAAATTTTCTTATTGAGACTCTCTTAAATGTGACAACTTGCTTGTCTCTTTCTGCTTTTAAGATTTGCCTGTCACAGACTTCAGCTTGGAGTTTGGTGAGCTTACTGGATGTTTATTTTCATGTATTTCATCACATTGGAGACGTTTTCAACCATTACTTCTTTAAATATTCTATTTCTTTCTCTCTGTTCTCCTCTGGGTTACTCATGATGCATATATTGGTCTGCCTGATGGTGTTGCAGAGGTCCCAGAAGGTTTCTTCTTTCCTCAACCTATTTCCTTTCTGTTCCTCAAGCTTGATAATTTTCATGGTTTTATCTTCAAGTTCACTAATTCTTTCATCTGCCCGCTCAAATCTGCCAATGAATCCCTCCAGTGAATTTTTCATTTTAGTTACTGCAGTTACCAGCTCCAGAACTTTTTAGGCTTTCTATCACTTCACTGATATTTAATTCTGTTTATGAATTGTTTTTACACTTTATTTTTCCACATTTTCCTTCAGGTCTTTGAGCATCTTTAAGTCAGTTGTTTTAACGTTTTTGTCTAGCCTTGACCAGTGTTGCTTAGGGGCTGAGCACTAGCCTGTGAACCAAAAGGTCGCTGGGTCAATTTCCAGTCAGGGTACATGCCTGGGTTGCAAGCCAAGGTGCAGTTGGGGATGTGCAAGGGGCACCTGATCAATGTTTCTCTCACACATCAAGGTTTCTCTCATTCTTACTCCTTTCCCTTTTCTCTAAAAAATAATAACATCTTAAAAAAAAAGTCTTTCTCTAGTATACAGTGGAACCTCAGTTCTAGAACTCAATTTTCCAGAAAACTGAGTTCCAGAAGACTGTGCGAAATGATGTATTCAAAAACCAGATCATACAGGTGACTGATCATACAAGAATCAGCATGAAAAGATTGTCAGATTGAGAACCAAAGTTCTATTTGACAAGTGAGACATTCTCCCATGAACAACATGGTCAAGAACTGAGTAATTTGAGATGGGAGACATTTGAGGACTAAGATTTGACTGTGTCTGTCATTAAGTGTTTTTTAGGGACAGATTCTATAAAATATTTTTTCCCTTTGAATAAGCCACACTTCTGTTTCTTTGTATTCCTTCTGATTTTAAGTTGAATGCTGAATATTTTAATATAATGGGTTCCCCTTCCCCACCCAGGATTTGCTGTTCTTTTTTTATTGTTTTTTGACTGTTGTAGGCTATCTCCTATGCCAAGACAGACTGAGGTATAAACTCAGTATGTTTTTATGTCTTTTGCTTAACTTTCCTTGGTTATGCGCAGTCACTTTGCATTTTCCCCCATACATGCAGTTGTTTTTTAAATGTCCTAGTCTTTAATGTCTGGATCCTGACGCAGGAAAAGCAAAAAATGAATGCAGGAAGAGAGGGCAATGGTCCTTTAAATCTCCTAGAAATCACTTCAGGTAGAGGGAGAGAGGGCTTGCAAGAAAGGTGTTGTGGGAGTTGCAAAAATGGCTGCCTGCCTATTTTTCACTTCATCAAGAATCAACAATCAAAAATCGGACCACAGATCCCCAATATTTGGAGGACAGTGCCCTTTTCACCCACCCAAGCTTCTGCCAGCTGTTCTAGGGATACTTGTACAGCTGTCTGCCACATGACTGTGGGGAGTGTGGGGGATGGGTAGCTGCTCTGTTCTAAAAGCTGAAATTGACTAAAACAAACTGCAATTTCCCATCTAAGCTTTCCCTTGGAAGATGCAAGCCTTCAACCAACTCCAGAATTCCAAAATCATTGTATCAGATTTTGCTAGTATAATTTTCTAAGGAGAGAGAGATTTCTGGTGTCTCCTACTTCACTATCTTCCCCAAATCCTTTCCTATTCTATTTATTGTTTTCCAGATATAATTTTTTCCTTCTCAAGTGGATTCTGTTTCATTTGCTTTATATCTCATGGTGACAAACCCAGTGGGCATATAATAAATATGCTGAATGAACTGATACGAGAACAATCATGTACCATAGTATCTAGGACATAGTAAGCAGTCAATAAATTACTCGACATTATACATATAGATATTATATACATATATATAATATACATTTATTTATATAAAATTTTCTTGGAGTAATTAAGATGAAATGAAAAAATAGCAGAAACTTACTCTCTGCCTGGAGGATCTGGTATAGTAGGGAATTGCCTGAGCTGATTTGTGTAAGCTGACTGACATTATAGAAATAGAAATCGTTGGATGCCCTCAATGCCTTCTGCTCTGTGGGATTCTTGGTATCACCTTCCCCTGCTTCTTACCATTTCTGCATTTCACAGTTTGGGTCACAGCTGTGGTTGATGAATCGAGCCTCATTTCCCATGCGATAACTGTCAATCACCATCCCACTATCCAGGTTCAGACAATAGTGATCACTGTGATTATGATACTGTTCAATCATCCTGTTCCTGAAGAGGAGAAAGATGATTGAAAGCCACTTAATGATTAAATTGAAAGTAATTTCAAACCTTCCATTTTCCATTCTAATCTAGTACCTTTACCATTTTCTGAGTATCATCGTTTACCTGAACTCCTGTTCGCTGACAACCTCCCCTAGGTATTCAATGATGAATTGCCCAGCTTTTAGGGGTTCTTTAGTTCTGATCCCCCAACCTTTTTCCTCAGCTCGAAATCGTTCTAGACATTGCACCCACTCATGCCTCTGTATCCTCTGGTTACAGCACTGCTCACCACAAGGACAAGTGTTGGGGGAACATTCAGCAAAGATCATTCTAGAAAAAAAAGTAATAATTATATGTCAATAAACATTATATATGCCTTCAAAAACCCATTTTATGTTTTATAGGAATTCTTAAAATGAATACATAAAATCAGTTTAATGAGGTTAGATTGGTTAACAAGGTAATAATATGTAACTTAAAAAATTAATAATTAAAATTTCTAGGTCAAGTTGCAAACACTGAGTGCTTCTTGTAAATTATTAATAAGCTCATTGTTCACTTAGTATCTTATTTAGCCCTGTGCTAAGAATAGATGAGCTGCAACCCACAGAGAAAATTGTTTGATGATTATACTGCACTCTTGTTTTCAAGTAGCTCATGGTCATTTATAGATTTCTTAAAAATTGTGGTAAAATACACATAAAACTTATAATAACCATTTTAAGTGTAAAGGTCAGTATATTCACACTGATTTTTTAAATCTTTTTAAAAAGATTTTTATTTACTTATCTTTAGAGGGGAAGGGAAGGAGAGAGTGAGAGAAACATCAATGTATGGTTGCCTTTCGTGCATCCCCTGCTAGGAACTGGCCTGCAGGGAACTGGCCTGCAACCCAGGTATGTGCCCTGACTGGGAATCGAACCGCAATCGTGTGGTTCGCAGGCCAGCACTCAATCCACTGAGCTACACCAGCCAGGTTGATTTTTTACAGTGATTCAAAATTCATTAGTGTAAATGACATTTCCATATTGGAAAGAGTATCTGTAGTCTGTATGACTAGGTGAACCTATAATCTGAAGTGAATAAACAAGTAAAAAAATTCTGCCCTGGCTGGTGTGGTTCAGTGGATTGAGTGCCGGCTGGTGAACCAAAGGGTTGCTAGTTTGATACTGGTTGGGACACACACCTGGATTGCAGGCTGGGTCCCTGTGGGGAGCATGTGATAGGCAGCTGCACATTAACGTTTCTCCCCCTCTCTTCTCCCTTCCTTGCCCTCTTTCTAGAAATAAATAAAATCTTAAAAAAAAAACCGAGTAAAAAATTCTGAACACAGTAGATGAAAGTTGTTACACATATGTCCTCTTACTATTTTCCTTTTTAAATTTCTAGATCTTTAATAGAAGCCATTTCCTGTTGTTGTAGTTTGGAATCCCAGTAAGGCTATTTTTAGCATGAACAAAAAAGGAGGACCAAGAATATAATGGTTAAGTCAGAATATTATATTATGGTCCTGGCTGGTTTGGTTCAGTGGATTGAGTGCCCACCTGCGAACCAAAGGGTCACTGGTTTGATTCCCAGTCAGGGCACATGCCTGGGTTGTGGGCCAGGCGCTCGGTAGGGAGCATGCGAGAGGCAACCACACATTTATGTTTCTCTTCCTTACTTTCTCCCTTCCCCTCTTTCTAAAAATAATTAACTATAATCTTTTTTAAAAAGTACTTCATTAAAAAATATCATTATGTTTATAATTACAACTTACAAATCTTGTAAAGAAAGTTAACACTTTAAATTTAAAAGTACTTTCAGAATCATTTATTCTTCAAAAAAATACTACCCTATCTAAAGGGCAAACAGTAAGCATAAAAAAAATTTCCACTGGACTATTCTTCAACTTAAGACAATCAACCTAACTTGTGAAAAAGACACTGCTTTACTGTCAAATTCAACGCCTTTATTCTTTCTTTTGCTGAATTCTCTACTGTAAGAACATACCATCTGTAAATGTAAGCCCTCTTTTTGTGGACTTTCTTGATTTTTTATGATGATGGATTTCCCACTTTCCTTCAATAACAACTCCTGTCTTTTTATTTACACAGAAAGCCTTTCCCCCCCAGTTTACCTTTCATAGCACATTCCTTTATCATATTTTCTTTAGAAGACTCATTTATTTATTTTTTTAAGACTCATTTATTTTCATGGTTTCTATTTTAATTCTCTGTTCATAATATCACACACCTGCATTTTCATCATACTTCATATGTTGAGAGAAAAAAAGAGACTTCAATTTTAAAAAGTTTTTTCCATTCCTGGCCAAGTAGTTCAGTTGGTTATAGCATCATTCCAATATACCAAGGTTGAGGGTTTGATCCCTGGTCAGTGCCAATATAAGGATCAACCAATGAATGCATAAATAAGTGGAACAACAAATCTATGTTTCTTTCTCTCAAAAATTGATTAAAAATAATAAAAAGTATTAAAAAAAATTTCTGCCACAGAACAATCATTCAGAGGTTGCTGAAAATTTGTGTTTTCTAGAATTGAAGGCATTGAAATATATTCCATTTTGATAAATAACCAAGATAAGCTCTTTATATAAAAAGTAAAGCATGTTTCCATACATTGTGCATGAAAATCAAAACTATAAATTTACCAAAACCTGAAAGTAGATATGGCAAAACTATGATGTGAAGAGTTTGATTTAGCAATATAAACTGTCATGATCTTTGGCCAGATAATGTCCTTGAAGCAAGACTAGTTTTCCCTTCTGAATATAGATCTAGACTGGAAAGCTCTTTCCCTCGCTTGGTGAAATTTAAGGTTAAACAGTCATTGGGAAATGTGCTAGTGTGACTGAAGTAACTAATGATGGCGGTCAGACCATTCTCTGCGAGTGGTGGACGAGTTTTTACTTAAATAAAGTGAATATTTCATCATGAATCATGCCAGGGTAGACGATCCCTATTTTGGGGGACTAAGAATTTCAGGACCTAGGTCTCTTCTGGAGCAAAAGGCTTCTAGAGATTTTTATTTTCGAGCAAGTGGAAGTGAACTGCATTCAACAAAGGAGCACAGATAGAAAGGATCTATTAAAGAGTTAGACAGGGACCCTGATGTTAAGTTTAGGGCCTGTGGACTCTGAGAATAATCAGTGTGAGTGGTATTATAAGTTTCACTAAACAATGTAATTTTATATTTCTCTAAGTGTTCAGTTTTATTATATAGCATGTATCCTTGTGAAGAGCTGAGAGAGTGGGCTCTGTACGTGTTGTGAAGAAATAGGTATAGGGTTAAAAAGTACACTGAAATGAATATTACAAGACTTTGCTCTAGGAGATGAGGAATGGGTTTGATATGATTGTCTTACAGTAACAAGAATCCATCAGGGAAGAATTGTCAAATTAATAAACAATACTGGTGATTCCTGGAAACTGTTTAGAAGAGAGGATGTCAAGTTTTAAAGTATTTATTTAAAGTAATTGTAAAAACCTATTACTTGCTTTTGGAAATAGTGCTGAATCAGGTTTTCCTTGATCTACTTGCAAGTGAATACAATTCTACATATGAGTCTTACATAGGTATCAAAGTGGGTCCTGCATTTCCTTTAACTTTTCACCCCCAAATATTTACAGAACCTTGAACACAAGGACAGGAAAGACAAAGCTGCCCCTATTTTTTAATAGTTCCATTTAACTGAATTTTTATATGTGTTACTTTTAAATATGTGAAGGAGCATCCACTGAATAACATTTTAATTTTTCTTAGGTATTTATGCATATATCACATTCATTATACATCACTCATTAGATACATGACTATGCAGTGATAATATTCTCATGATACAGAGCTGGCAGCATTGTATCTGAATGTTTTATCTTGCTTAGGAGTATTTTTTGTTTTTTTAAAGAAAGGTAACACAATGGGAAGGTCACACATACTAACAAAAATGTTATTAGACAACCAGTTTAAATTATGTAAAGGTAAATATATAAATTTTGATTTTTAAGTGATTAAAATAACCATACAATAAGCAATGTGTGGTATAGTGTGAAGAATATGGCTTTCTTTGAATCACAAAAAAGTGGATTCATATTCTGTCTCAGTCACTTAAGTGCTGTGTAATGTAGAGCAATTGACCATCCAAATTTTAGGTTCCTTCATCTATAAAATGTAAAACTATCACCTACTTGATAGAAGTATTTGAGAAAGACAGGAACTACCCAATGAAACAGCAGCTATATTATGGTAATTTCATTAATAAAATATCATTAAAAAACCACAGTAAAACCAACCAAAAAACCTCAGTAATGTCATAAAAAAATACACATTTAAACAACCTTTAAGAACATACACTACTTCCAAATATTCAACCAATCAAGTAAGCTGTCAATACCTAAATAAAGTACAACTGTGGGAAATTAGTATATTGATACATTCATTGGTGGTGATACCAAAAATAATAAATAGTATATGTAATAAGAATTATATAAATATTGTTCATACAGGTAATTCTTATTCTGCAAATGCATGCACTCTAAGGGCTAAAAAAAGTCTCTACACAAAAATTTCAGAGTAGTGCTATTTTTAGTAAGAAAATATTGGAAATAACTTGAATGATGAACAACAGGATAATGGCAAACTATGCCATATCAAACTAATGGAAGGTAACAAATCTCCTGAAAATGATTAACTTGTATACCATACTGATACTGACACATAAAAACGTACATGCAAAGTATTTACATGTGAAAAATTAAGTGCAAAAATCAAAGATTATCTATACCATCAGCTATTATGATGTAAAACTGTATGTATATACAAGATATAAATTTATAGTGATATAGATAAGGTACAATTTCCCAACTGGCACATTGAAGCATGAGGTACTGAAGCACTGATTCCTACAGCCATGAGGACAGTTGTCTAGAGACCAAGAAAGCAGTTGCCTTTGTTGAGGAAAACTACATAGAACAAGAAGTATTTTTGTTAAAGATTTTAACTATTTATTTCAGAGACAGGGGAAGGGAGGGAGTAAGAGAGGGAAAGAAACACTGATGTGAGAGAGATACATCTACCAATTGCCTCTTTCATGCCCCCAGCTGGGGACCTGCCTCACAAACCAGGTAAGTGCCCTGACCAGGAAATGAACCAGCAACCTTTGTGTTCAGAAGCCTGTGCTCCATCCACTGAGGCATACTAGCCAGGGTGAGAACAGGAAGAACTGATGTGAATTTTGTTGTTGTTGTTTTCTGGTATAAATTGGCTTATGTTACTAAACCCAACAAACTGTATTATATTCTCTCCTTTGGCTCTATTAGACATTTCCTTTTGAAATCTTGTTATATTAAATTCAATGGTCCAAAATGAAAATCATAATTTTTATCTCCAAACTAGTCTGATTTCATACTTTCTATCTTTGACAATAGCATTACCATCTCTCATTGGTATTACTGACTCAATTCTCATGTGTATCTGCTATATGCTAATGGTTGATTAACCCTTTCTAATATTCCCCCAAATATACTATGCTATTCTTCTTTCTTACTACCATCATCATACTTTACTCTCTCTTTATGGCTACCATATTTTGAGACCTAAAAAAATTTCTAGAACTGTGCTTAATATTCTATGAACATTGTCCCATACAATCTTCACAACCCCCCTATAAAAAGGTATTATTTTTATCAGAGGGGTTAAGTAACTTTTCTCAGGCCTCAAAAATAAGATGATTTAAACCTAGGTATGTAAGATTTTTTTTCTGTTACTCTGTTCATCCTATGTATGAGCTGAGTTTTCATGTGCCCTCAAAATTCATAACTGAATCCCTTGCCCCAATATAATGGTATTTGCAAGTAGTGCCTTTGGAAGGAAAAATAGGTTTATATTAGGTCATGAGGGTGGGAGTCACGATGGATTAAAGCCCCTGTGAGAAGGTACTCTTTGTCCATGAGCATGCACTAAGAAAAGGCCATGTAAGCATGTAGAAAGTAGGCAGTCATCTATACACCAGGAAATGGGTCCTTACCAGAAACTGAATCTACTGGCATCTTAACCTTGGACTTCACGCCCTCCTAAACTGTGGGAAATAAATGTTTATTAAGTTACCCGGTCTATGATATTTTGTTATAGTAGCCTGAGGAAACTGAAACAGCCCATCAATTATGTTTTATATATCTTTGTGCAACCTCTTGAGGAAAAATCAAAGAGTATTTAATTGAAGTACCTTATTGATCTTAAAGCCTATCCTTTTAGAGCAATCAGTTTAGTACAGTACCTATTGAGGCAGTCATCCACACAGCCCTTCCTGGTGTCATCATCTGGTTTCTTACAGTTACAGGTGGTAGCCTCATAACCAGAAAGGGGTTTGACATCAACGTAGACATCTTGAAAGACAGTAAAGAACAGTTTGTAAACATACAGAATAATTTTTTAAATGCCCCACCAAGGAACACTGATGGTACAGAGGCAGAAAAGATTACTCACTTGAACGAATTTTTTTATATAGTGGGACATCTGGCTTTTTGTATAGCTAGAAAAAGAAAAAAGAAAAATCTTGATATAGCATTTAACTTCAAATGCCAGACAGCAGCATTACTCAGGAAAACAACGAGACATTTTCCATGTGCTCTGCCCATATGGAAATATTTACAAGACTTTCTGGGATGGATACATTTGAGGAAAACCGTTTGTATGATCACTTTTTGCTCCAAAATAAAAGGTGACTTACTAGATCAGGGTAAAAGAGAAACTGGTTCAACAGAAGAGATATAAGTATGTAAGGGTTTAAAGAAAGTACATCTTGAATGGTAGGTTTCTTTAACTTGTTGGACAGACTTAAATGAAAATCACACTGTAGATGAAGCTATTCATTTGGATAAATTAAGATTCTATTTGCCTCTATAAATAAAGAGGAAAACTTGCCTAGAGCTTGTCTGCCTGATTTGGATAGGTCTATGAAAAAAGAAAAAAGAAAAAAAAAAGAGTACCCTAGCATTTTCAGGGTGGGTATTATAGGAAAACAAATTTCACATTTTAATTAGACAAGTAATTTAGTGAATAAAGAGAACAGGGCAGACAGAAAAGTGGAGCTCTCATACTGTGATCAAGAATGCAACAGAAAAAAAAAAGAATGTATTAGAACAGAGGCAGTCACGTGGTCAATGTTTCATCACAGAAGACTGTACCAAAACAAACAAACAAACAAACAAACAAACAAACAAACAAACAAACCAACCAACCAACCAACCAAAACAACTTACTTGGTCTTAGAGTGTATTAATCAATGAGAATAATCCCATCATCATTTTTCAGTGGGTATAGTCAAAGCACTGTCTCTCCTTCAATGTTACACACTTTCTGAGACAAATATCTAACATTTTGATCCTCTCAGAATTCAAGAAAGGCCACCAGAGGACAGAATGCAGAAGGAAATGGTCATTGCTTTTGGCTTTCCAAAACTAAAATTTGATGGAACTTTGGTAAAACTCAGGAGCTTATTCACCTTCTGTGCATGACTATTTTTATTTTCCAATAGTTGTTCTCAGTAGGGACCTGGGGCCTACAGCTTAATACAAAATTATTAGGGGAAACTTTTCAATTAGGGAAGCCAGAGAGCAAAATAGCACATTCTTCTTATTTTTAGTTCCCAATATATTTTAAAAGTAGAAAAGTGTCAAATATTTTGTTTTCTTTGGTAGAAAAATTTCTTTCGTATGTGAAAAATAAACTCCAAACTGATGAGAAGGGGCCAACGAAAATAAAGCCTGAAATTTCTTAGTGCTGCTGGCAGTACATCTAAACTCTCCAGAGACCTGTATCAAATAGGATTCTTACAGAACAGAATCTATGCTACCAAAATAAAAGTCCAGAGTAAAACAGAAGGTTTCCCAGGGAAGTATGAACTTACTGTTATTTTGAAGTAAGAGTGAAGGCAAATACGTCATATTAAATATAGTTGAGAATTCATTTTTTTTGTCTCTAGCCTTCACAGGGACACTTCTTTGTATTTCCTAAAATGAGAGTATGACTCGGAGGCAGACAAAAAGACTTGCATATCTTGCATATCCTTGCCATATCTTACAATGTAAGAATGAAACCTGGAAAGATCAGCTAACTGTACCTGATTATGTTTCCACTGCCAAAGGATGTCATAGGGAAGCTGGAAGTCAATTCTCTTTTGCCTTAGATACTTTCCTGAAACAACAACAACAACAACAACAAATACTATCAATTTTAACACGCGTACAAACAACCAAACCCAAGATCTAACATGTACCAATTAGAAAAATAAAAATCTAACTTTTAATTTTATGAATTTCCCATTACTCAATTTTAATTTTACCTACTTTTTCCACCATGTAGTATATACTAAAGATATATTTTAACTTTAACTAGTATACATAAAATAAGTAACGTAGCAAATTTACTACCAAAAATACACAGGACATTACGAAGCAAACAAAATACCGAGAATTCTTTGATTATAGAAATTACTAATTAGAGCATTTGGCACCTACTCTCCTTCATTTTTACAGAAAATCTAAGGCTGATTATAAAAAGGGGAAATAAAAGTTTTTTAAAATGGAAGTCCCTGAATTTAAGTAACACAATAGTGTTTACATAGTAATTTATGATTAACTTTTTTTAAAATTAAAATATGATTATGTTTTAGGATTTCCAATTAAGATGGAGTATAGGTAAACATGGCTAGCCCCCTAACATAACCACAGAAAATTACAACTAAAACAGAGGACAAACATCAGAAAATCGAGCTGTAATGAATCCAACAACTAAAGAATTAAAGAAACCACATTTATCAAGATGGGTAAAAGGGAAGGAAGGGTGGATGGATATGGAGACATGGAGACCTAGAACCAGTGGGTCCCAAACCCATGTGTTCTGGATAGAAAATAGAAAGATATCTTGGGAGCAAGGGATCCCCCCCCCACACTAAGCCTACCAGCCCAGGGTCCCTGTACCAGGAAGATAAGTCTCCATAACTTCTGGCTGTACAAACTAGTGGGGGTTGGGTTTACTGAAGAAAGTGGGATTCTCAGGCCTCCTTTCTTTCTCTTTTTTAAATATATTTTATTGATTATGCCATTACAGTTGTCCTATTCCCCCCTTCATTCCCCTCCACCCAGTAGTGGGTGTGTGAGAGGCAACCACACATTGATGTTTCTCTCCCTCTCTTTCCCCTCTCTATAAAAACAAACAAACAAACAAACAAACAAATAAATAAAATTCTCAAAAAAAAAAAAAAGAGGTAATGAATCTATGACAACAGTGGTTCTTAACCTGTTTTAATTGACAGGTATTTTTGAGAATCTTATGAAAGCTATGTGTTCTTTCCCTAGAAAGAATGGATATATATAACTTTGCAAGTATTCTGGAGTATTCACAGGCCCTAATCTATACGTTAAGGAAAAGGACCCCAGCCCTGGCCAGGTAGCTCAGTTGCTTAGAATGTGGTCCTGATGTGCCAAGGTTGCAGGTTCAATCCCCAGTCAGGGCACATACAAAACTGAACCACAAAATGCATAAATAAGTGGAACAACAAATTGATGTCTCTCTCTCTCTCCCTCTCCTTTCCCCTCTCTCTAAAATTAGTAAGTTAAAAAAAAAAAAAGGACCTAAACTATCAAGAAAAGTACTTTGACCTACTCCATTTCTCTTTCAAAACACATCTTTTGGATGTGTGTTGGGGCTAAGGGTGGGGAAGGAGAAAGGTTTTAATTTTGGGTACCTAATTTGGTGATGTTCTTGACTTTTTTCAATGTATTATTATTTTTTTATTGATTGATTTTATTTAATTTTTTAAAATATATTTTATTGATTATGCCATTACAGTTGTTCTATTCCCCCGTTCATTGCCCTCCACCCTGTACACCCCACCCCTAGCATTCCCCCCCTTTCATTATGTCCATGTGTCACAAATTCTTTAGATTCTATATTTCCCTTACTATTCTTGCCCTCCCCCCTGTCCACTTTCTACCTACCGTCTGTGCTACTTATTTTCTGTACCTTCTCCCCCCTTCTCCTTCTCCCACTTCCCTGTTGCTAACCCTCCATGTGATCTTCATTTCTATGGTTCACTTGTGATCTAGCTGTCCTCTTAATTTGCTTTTGTTTTAGGTGTGGCTGTTAATAACTGAGTTTGCTGTCCTTTCACTGTTCATGTTTTTTAAACTTCTTTTTCTTAGATAAGTCCCTTTAACATTTCATATAATAAGGGCTTGGTGATGATGAACTCCTTGAATTTGATCTTATCTGAGAAGCGCTTTATCTGCCCTTCCATTCTAAATGAAAGCTTTGTTGGATAGAGCAATCTTGGATGTAGGTCTTTGGATTTCATGGCTTGGAATACTTCTTTCCAGCCCCCTTCTTGCCTGCAAGGTGTCTTTTGAGAAATCAGCTGACAGTCTGATGGGAACTCCTTTGTAGGTGACTGTCCCCTTAGCTCTTGCTGCTTCTAGGATTCTCTCCTTCCTTTTAATCTTGGCTAATGTAATTATGATGTGCCTTGGTATGTTCCTTCTTGGGTCCAACTTCTTGGGGACTCTCTGAGCTTCCTGGATTTCCTGGAAGTCTATTTCCTTTGCCAGATTGGGGAAATTCTCCTTTATTATTTGTTCAAATAAGTTTTCCACTGGTGGCTGTGCCTTTCCCCCTTCTGGTACCCCTATAATTCGGATGTTGGAGTGTTTAAAGATGTCCTGGAGGTTCCTAAGGCTCTCCTCATTTCTTTGAATTCTTGTTTCTTGACTCTTCTGTTTGGCCATTATTTGCTTTCTTCTGGTCCACTCCATTGATTTGAGTCCCAGTTTCCTTTTCATTGCTATTGGTGTCCTGTGCAATTCCATTCATTTCAATTAGTTTCGCCTTCATGGCGAAACTAATTTGTGGTTATGAACAACCAGATCTGTGAGGATCCTGATCACCAGTGTTTTAAACTGTGCGTCTGAGAGTTTTGCTATTTCTTCATCACTTAGATTTACAGGCTCTGGGGCTTTGAGATCTTCTTGAGCCATTTTTGGTTTCCTCGTGCCGTTTAAGTGTGAGGAGCGGAGCCTTGGACTCCCAGGTTGCTGGGTTGTGAGGCTGTATGTGGGGGCGTGGTCAGAGCGGGGAAATGGCGACTCCCTCTGCTGTTTTGCCGCTGGGTGAGAAGCAGAGGCTTAGGTGGTTCACCTGGGCGGGGCCACCCAGAGTCGCTGGGTTATGACGCTGTTTGTGGAGGTGGGGTCAGAGCAGGGAAATGGTGGCGCCCTCCCTGCTGCTGCGTTCTGGTCCAATCACCCGCTCCCTCGCTTGTCTATTCACGCACAAATGCGCGACCACATGCTCCCTCTCTGTTTCCCCCGTGGTCGCTCACTAGGTCCAATCCTGTGCCTGCATTCCGAGCGCCTGAGTGCAACCCCGTTCCACCAGCTGCTGCTTTTGCCCCTTACCAGTCAGGCTGAAGAATTTGTTGTTAACAGACTTCCAAAAAGTTCAATTTTCTGTGTTCTGGCTGTGTTTTCTGTTGCTAATATTTAGTTGTTTCTAAACTTGGTTGTGTGAGAAGGCACGGCATATCCACCTATGCCTCCATCTTGGCGGAAGTCCCCCAAACTTCCAGTCTTTAAATGTGGCATATTTCTCCACTTAACTCTTCTTTAATTTCTGTGACAAGTATTTTCATTTTGGTGTAAAGACCTTGCCTATTTTATGAAATTATTTAAGATAATTTTATTTTATTAAGATAAATTTATTTTTAATCATTTTAGCTTTTATTACACTGTTATAAATGATTTTTTAAATAGACTTTTAGCTTCAAAGCAGTACTAAATATAAAGTACACAGATTTGCCTTATATCCTGGGACCCTAAATATGCATTATTAACATCCTCCACCAGAGTGTTGCATTTGTTAACAACTGATAAAACTATACTGACATATCACTATCACTCAAAGTCCACCATTTACATTAGGGTTCACTCTTGGTGTTTTATATTCTATGATTTTAAATAAATGTCATGTATCCATTATTACAGTACTACACAGAAAAGTTTCACTTCTCTAAACATCCTCTGTGCTCTCCCCATTCATCCTTCCCTCCACTCTAACCCACTAAAACTACTGATTTTATTAATGTCTCCAGTTTTTGCCTTTTGTCTCAAGTCCCCAGAATGTACTTGAGTTGAAATCATCCAGTATGTATCATTTCCAGATTTCCCTTTCACTGAGTATTACAAATTTAAAGTTCCTCAAAGTCTTTTCAAGGCTTAATAGCTCATATACTTTTAATGAATAATATTATATTCTCTGGATATACCACTGTTCATTCATTTATTTATTGAAGGGTACCTTCTTTGCTTCTAAATGTTGGCAATTATAAATGAATCTGCTATAAATATCTATGTACAGGTTATTGCATAGACCAAAGTTTTCAACTTCTTGGGATACATACCAAGAATGCAATTGTTGGACCATATGATAACAGTATGTTTGGCCTTATAATAATACAATCAATTTTTATATACTAATTTTGTTTTCAGTAATCTTTCCACTAGTTTTAGTAGTTTCTTGTGCATATCTTTGGATTTTTTACATACATGATCATGTCATATACAAACAGTTTGTTCTTTTTTGATCCTATGACTTTTATTCCTTATTTTGCCTTACTGTGCTGACTAGAACATCCATAATAATGCTGAGAAGTAGAGAGTGAACACTTTCATTTTCTTTCCATTTTTAAGAGGAAGCATTCAATATGTCACTGTTAAGCATGAAGTTAACTTTAGATACCTTTTATAAAATAAGAAAATTCCTTTCTAGTTTTAAAGGTTTTTTTGCCTGTATGTTAAAAAAAAACTTTTTTGTTATGGTTTGTGTAGCTCAGTGGATTGAGTGCCGGCCTATGAACTAAATAAAGGTCACCTGTTCGATTCCTAGTCAGGGCACATGCCTGGGTTATGGGCTGGGTCCTCAGTTAGGGGGTGTATGAGAGACAACCACACACTGATGTTTCCCTCCTTCTTTTTCTGTTTCCCTTCCCCTCTAAAAAACCAATCAATCAATCAATCAAGCCTAAAACACGCACGCATGCGCACCCCCCCAAAGAAACCTTTTCTTTTTTTTAATTGTTATTTTTTTAATTGATTATGCTGTTACAGTTGTTCTATTCCCCCCTTCATTCCCGTCCACCCTAC